ACTTAAAAAGGTGACATTGACGTTGACATGGTATCAACAAGAGACAGGATCATAACAGCAATAACCATTCTAAATACAAAAGTATCCCAAAAAGACACTTAACCGAGTGAGGTGAAAGTTTATTCCAACCCAAGCCAAGAAGATAAACAAATATAAAAAGACAAAAACACGGGAAATTAGACCAAAAGGTGATGTATCATGATAGAGTAAGGAGAAATGATTTGTTACTTAAGACGGGAGGAACACATCCGATTAATAAGTTAGAGTGCAACGAGAACATCATCTGCCCAGTAAGGCTTGGGTACATGCATGTTAAACATCTATAATATAAAATAGAGCGGGGCTTCAATAAGCCGATCGTACGGTCTTCATTCGTTCAAAGTCTTCAACATCCAAAAATTCACAATACATCTCATTCAAATTCAAACCCAACCATCACACCCAACCCAACCCAACCCAAGATCTATTCTCTCATGTCCTCTCTCCTAGATCAGCTCTTCCCAGATCTGTTCTCTCTCATGTTCTCTCTCATGTCCTCTCTCTCCCAACGGCTCTTCCCCCATATCTCTTCTCTCTCATGTCCTCTCTCATCTCAGTCTCTTCACTGTCAAAGAGCAAGCAGCAAGAGACAGCGGTCACTTCTCCCTCCCTTCCTCTCTCTTCCCCATCCCTGCCCCTCCCCATAATTTTCTCCCCAAAAACACAGACACTCAGTCTCTCTCTCTCACCATCGCCAAAGCTAGAGGTAGAGCCACCATAGCCACCACGCCAAAGCTAAAGAAACAGCGCCCTCTTCTCTTCTTCTTCTCTCCCCACCATCCCTCTTTTGCACAAAAATCAGATCCCTCTTTTACTCATGGTGGTTTGATTTGGGCAATGGTGGTTTGATCACACCCATCCTACCCCCGCCTCTTCTCTACCCTCTGCTACACATTCATCACCCATACTCACCCACACACAAATCGCACACACACCCAAACAAACCCAGACCCATCACACACACGCCCAACACAAACCCACCATAATCTCTTAGGTAGTAAAATTTAATGGATGCTGAGTTGGGTTTACAATGGGCGGCTTTATAAATTGAGTTCAATGAATAATAGGTACAAGAGGGGTTGGATATTGGGAACTTATTTTCAATGCAAGAGAAATGTGGCTTGATTGTATCAGTAATAATTCATTTTTTTTTTGTTTCCTTGCAGTGTCTGCCTGATTTCTGATCCCTTGCATATGCTTCTTAGTCCCCAAATTTTCGAATATATAGATATTTGGTAATCATTACCTTGTGTATCTAGGTCACAACGGAATTTAAAGGAATTTTCATTGCTTAGTTGCTGAAAATACAGTTCTGGAATTCAGTATAAGGTGTTCATCGATAATGGCTTGTGATCTTAAGAAAAAGGTGTTTTTCGCCAGGATTCTCTCTTAGAAACCCATAAGAGAAACAAATTGGTGAGCCACAAATATAATCACACAGCATCACTGTTCATATAGGAATGAATTTGGACTGTTCATATAGGAATGAATTTGGACTCTAGAGATGTGTTAGGACTCTAGAGATGTGTTAGGAAACCCATAAGAGATATCATGCTTCACTGTTTTCTGCTTTTCCTTTTTAGCAATTTAGCTTATTTATGTGTTCCACCTAAACGCAAAGAGGCTCTCTCTCTCTCTCTCTCTCTCTCTAAGGTTTTAGTTATCTCACACTCAACAACGTCATTTTTTCTGAATTTATTTCACGCACTGAACTTATTTTACTTTCAAGCAGTTTCGGCTGTTCCGGCTATTTTCTCAGTCCTCAGTGTAAGATAAGTTATTTCTAATATTTGAGATTGCCCTTTCTGAACTGTAAGTTTCTAAGTTTCTGAACTGTACTTCTTATGAAGACTTTATATTTCATGTAAAACTACTCCGTATATTATTGGGTTGACCTTAATTTTGTTCAAGGTTACATGTAACTATTTTTTTTCGTGAGCATTTTAATGTTTTTCTCCTATGCATTATCAATTGTCAATATTGGTTCGACCTCTAATTTTGTTCAGTTTTCTATGTTACTATTTTTGCGAAATTTAGATCACTCACACACACAATTTGCAAAATTTTGAGTGTTAATTTCGTTGTTTAGAATGTTTGTTTCTTCTTGGCTGTCCATTGTGAATTATTTTCTAGACTTCGAGTTGATTTTTAATTTTTATTTAAATTTTTTTACAGACTTCGGTGTCTGTCATCTCTTATTCTCAAAAGAAGAGGAGATGCAATATGGGCAGTGAGAAGACTCAACAGATCTAGGGTGTGTGATTCACCAATAAGGTTTGTGTTTTGATAGGGGTTTTCTTTAAATTTTAATCCTATATAATTAACACCTATCTATGTTACTATTTTTGTGAAATTTAGATAACTCACACACACACACACACACAATTTCCAAAATTTTGAGTGTTAATTTTGTTGTTTAGAATGTTTGTTTCTTCTTGGCTACCCATTGTGAATTATTTTCTGGACTTTTGAGTTGATTTTTAATTTTTATTTAAATTTTTTTGCAGACTTTGGTGTCGGTCATCTCTTATTCTCAAAAGAGGAGATGCAATATGGGCAGTGAGAAGACTCAACAGATCTAGGGTGTGTGTGATTCACCAATAAGGTTTGTGTTTTGATAGGCATTTTCTTTAAATTTCAATCCTATATAATTAACACCTATCTGTGTTACTATTTTTGTGAAATTTAGATAACTCACACACACAATTTGCAAAATTTTGAGTGTTAATTTTGTTGTTTAGAATGTTTGTTTCTTCTTGGCTGCCCATTGTGAATTATTTTCTGGACTTTGAGTTGATTTTTAATTTTTATTTAAATTTTTTTGTAGACTTTGGTGTGTGTCATCTCTTATTCTCAAAAGAAGAGGAGATGCAATATGGGCGAGAAGACTCAAGAGATCTAGGGTGTGTGTGATTCACCAATAAAGTCTGTGTTTTGATAGGGGTTTTCTTTAAATTTCAATCCTATATAATTAACACCCATCTATGTTACTACTTTTGCGAGATTTAGATCACTCACACACACAAAATAATTTTTCTTTTATAGAAAATGTGAATTTCTTATTTTGTCTAGAGATGAGTTTAAGACCTCGACAATGTTTTGGTTCCTTTGAAATGGTTCCAGGCTTCAAGCTGTAAAAGTTGTGATTGGCTATTATATTATTGAGATGTTGTCTAATTTTAGTTCAAAAGGAAAAAAGCTAATTTATACCTTAACCCCTCCTAGGTATGCCTCATCTCTCTCTCTCTCTCTCTCACACACACACACACCCATCCTACCCCTGCCTCTTCCTTGCCCTCTTCTACACACTCATCATCCCCACACAAATCGCACGCGCACACACACACCCACTCATCCATACACACCCAAAAGGGAAGAAGTTGGATGATTTGATGTCGAAGAGAGACCCACCACACACCCACTCACCCGCCACTACCATTGAAATTCATAGTCAAACAAACACAAACACCCCCACCCAGCCAGAGCACGCACACACGCCCATAACAAACCCGCACCCCTGACCCCTCTCCACCGTAAACCTACTCCACCTGCCCATAACACACCCACCAAGTGTTTGTTTAAATTCCTAAGAGAAGTTTGTGCAAATATTTGAAAAAATTTTGGTTACGACTTTGGAGTGACCTTTAGTTTGTGTGTTCTATACTTGATTTGACAAATGGTTACCTTCCTAAAAAACTTGATTTGGCAAATGGTTACCTTACTAAGTATTGGCAAATGTTTTTTATCGCGGTAGAAAAGAAAAAATATTTTTTCCACTACGACAATCACATGGGCATACTAAGATGAGAATGGGGATACTAACTCTCTTTTACGTACCAAGAAACACATGGGCATACTCCCCATTAGCATCGTGAATTTTATTAACATGTAAAAGAAAAAAAGAATTGAGTAATCATTGGAAAAAATTGATAATGCATGATAGGATCTCAGCCTCATTGGTGGTTGAAAAAATATTAGACACAAATGAGTCGGTTAGATTTGAATCATATGTGGGTAGATTAACAGTAAAGAAACATTGTAGCAAATTGAAATAAAAATATGAAAGAAATACCACACTTCCTTTGTCAAAGTACTCTGAACTTTTTAAATTTTTTTACAATGCCTCAATGATCAAGTTCTCAATTTTTAAAAAAAATTTTGTTCTTTAAAGTTTTGTTTCTTTATGATTGCAGCCTTGCATGGTCATATAAATTGTAAGGAACACAATTGTTATAGTTTGGAGAATATTGAGGAAGAGAATCTTTTCTGGTTAAGACATCTTAGTTTGCACAACTGAAATTGTTCAAGGAGTAATATTGTCAATATTGAAATTGTTTAAGACATCTTGGTTTTTGCTTTCTCATTCCTATGAGATTTAATAACCTTGCAGGTTGAATGTTCTTAATAGCTTGCTTTTTTTTTAAAAAAACATTAACGTATTTGGATAAAATTTAAATGGATGTCGACAAGATTTCTGTATTGGTGAATTTGTGTCTTTCTTATGCAATGTGATAGGAATATAAAATTAAATGACTAATTAGGTTGATAGTTGAGTTATGATTTTCATTCTGAACATTGTTCAAATATGACATTTTGGACATGTTGCATTAGTTGGTAAATGATTGTATTAACGTATAACTATGACGCGATGGTGAGTCCAATAGTTTGTTTGGGATATCATTACACAAACCATATACATAGGTTGATATTATTTTTAAGGGTCTGCTTTTGGAGAAATTATGTCAAAAAGTTGTAATAAAATTATTATGTCACATGAAGATTTGCTTTGGTGAAATCACATGGGACAATAATGGAATTTCTTTTACCTTAACCTGATTTGTGATTATCATTTTGTGTTATTGTACTCAAATTCTCAATTCTTGCTTTTGGATTTGGAATCTATTATTTTTTAACTTAGAATTGGTGGCTCATTGTTTATATCTATTTGTGGGTTTTATGGTTTATCTTAGTTGGGGTGTTGATAGATCTTGGTACAATTTGGATGAGAAATTGCAAACAACAAAGGTCCAGGAGATGTCCCGTGCAATGTCTTGCTGGCAACCATTAAGAGTGTAGAAGTTGGCCATGTTAGCATCATTGTTATTCACTTGGTAATTTGTCCTGTGTATATGAATTTGATATTCTAATAAACTTGGTTACTTTTTGGATTTACGTTGTTTGGATTGAATTTTGCATGACACATCTTGTAGTGAAACCCAAAACTAATTTGAAATGTAGGAATTTCTAATGAAAAATAAAATCGTGGGTTTGTAGTTAAAATTATATTCTAAGTGCAGTGCATTTATATTTTAAGTTTTTTATACCTTCAGTTGGTGCATCTATATCTATAATATAAAATACATCGGGCTTCAACAAGCCGATCGAACGGTCACATTTCATTTCATCTATCCGTGACAGATCTTCACATTTCCCCCCAAATTTATCATTTTTCACCCACAAATTTATTCAAAAATCTGATCCCTCAATCACTTCATCTGCTAGCAGTCACTTCCTTTCCTCGGTACAACGGAAAAAATGGCATCAGTCACCGCCATGGACATTTTTCCCCAACCATTATGTCAGACGCATCTTGGCCATCTCATTCTCTCTCTGTATCTTCATCTCTCTCCCTCTCTTTTTTCTTACCCACCACCATCACCGAAGTTAGCAACAACACCACTGCCCCAAGCCATCTCACTCTCTCTCTCCCTCCCTCCCTCTGTTTCTTCTTACCACCATCCATCGCCGAAGTCAGCAACACCACCACCGCCCCAGTGACACCACCAGCAACACCGCACCGCCGCTGCTAACCCCTCCCAGGTATGCCTCATCTCTCTCTCTCTCTCTCTCTCTCTCTCTCACACACACACACACCCATCCTAGCGAACTAACATCAGTTTCACCCAAGTTCTCGGATTGAGTATCTCCCAAACATGAAGAATTTTCCTTTTCCAGCTCCATAGCATCCATAGGCTGAGCATTTTCACAAACACTTTGCAACGCAATATGAAGATTCTCACCACTTCTCAAATGGGTTTTCTTAGATATTGAAAATCCAGAAGAATCTTTATTCACAAGAAGGTTTTTAGTTCCTAAAATCTCGACGATTTCATTGAAAAGTGAACCAAAGTTCTGGGTTTCTCTCTGGTTCGATTTCATCCTACCCCCACATCTTTCTCTAGCTTTCCTCCCCCTCCTCTCTCTGTCCAGAGACGCCATGGACTAACCCACCACCGACGACAACACAACCACAATCACAATCTACAATGTTGCGTCTACCTTTCACAACACACGCACACAGCACCGCATACACATAACACAGCACACACGCACAGCACTCACACGCACATAGCAAGGCACCTTTAAGCTGTTCGATGAAATGCTGCAATTGCGTCTACCTTTCCCATTCTCACATAACTCTCTTTTCTCCTATTTTTCTCACACACACACACACACTGCATACACATAACACAAACACATATAGCACACATACAACATAAGCACATGAAACATTGTATGGGTTTGGTTGGCAGTTTTCCCAAACATGTAGTTATTATGTTCTTTGTAGATTGAGTCGAAAACTGAGCACGAAAATTTTAGTGGTGGCAATGTTTTTCATGCAATCCTATCAATAAAACTTTTTGTTATTTCTATCAGAGCATCCATTAATTATTTAGGTTGGTTTTTCATGATTTTATAGTTGGTTTGGATCTCTGTGGGATTGTAAGATTTCCTTAGTTTGAGTAATTTGTTTGAGAATTTTAGTGTTCCATGGGGTAAATTTTTTTTTTGTTTGTGTTGAGTGGTGGTGATTTTGGAATATTAATGCATTAAATTGGGTAGAATTACTGACCAAAGCAGTGAAATTGCCATTACTGTCAGCTACCCATGTGTGGACCTGTTTTACATATTTATACTCTTGACTTTGGTAGTTTTTGTGGTTCCAACTAATATAAAACTCTTGCTTGCACAGGACTTTCTTTTTCCTTTGCCTTTGCCTTCATGTTACTTGTTTATCAGGATATTCAATTCTATGGCATTTCAAGTTCTTTCCAAAGCTTAGTTAGTATAGTGGTGGTTAGGAATTAGATCTGCTCAGATATGGCATTTCAACTAATCAAGTTCTTATGTTGTGGTTGGCCCTGAAGTTTTATTCTAGACCGTCCATTGTACAAATAATAATTTGGTGAGTTATCTAATGATAGCAAATGGTTAGTGCTGGATTAAACTATCTACATTTTGGATAATAATTAGTTGGTTGTCTACTTACAGCATTAAACTATGGGCTACCGTTGAAGACATTTCGATGTTGTTGCACAAAAAGATTTTTTTTTTTGTGTGGAGGGTGGTGCAGTGCATGTCCACTTTTTTGTTTTTTGTTTTGGGTGGGGGGTATACAAGTCTTTGTTACGTTCACTACTTTTGAATCCTTCTAGTTTATTCACATCTATTAGTTCATCATTCAATTTGGTTAATTTTGTTATCCTACCCTTTTTGTGATTGAATGTTCGTTTACTAACTTTGTAAGCACAGTACTGGTTTTTTTGAGCTCACCGTATTTGGTTATGTGAGTGTTTATTTACTTTCCTGCTATTGTCATTGCTATTATCAAAATTATTATTTTGTCGTATCTAAGTCTCAAATCATTATTTTTTATAGATGGATCCGAACTTTCGCGAAGCGGTAAGATTAATTAAATTGTGCCTACACTTTTTAAATTTCATTATCACAGTTGTTTGAACTGGTGGGTATGTTCGATAGTTTTCTGAATTATATACGTACAATGTGGATTATGAAGCAAAACCCCCATTAGTGCTTATTAGATCTTTTTGTGTGTATTTGTCATTTGGGGGTTTTCACTATTTGGTATTGTGGTAGAATTTTATGAATTGATAGGATTATGAACTCATGTCCTTTAATTTTTTGTTCGTGATGATCACCCAGTCGAAGAAACTTGTATGGGCATTATTTGCTAGTGACCCCCAAAATTTGATGCTTGCATGTTCAGGTAACCAATTCATGATTTTTATGTACATTTTGTTTCTGTTCTTTACAGCATTATCGTTGAAAGTAATTTGAATTTTTTTTCCCCGTTGTGGTTACCCTTTACTTCCTGGGTTTTGGAAATTTCTTTTAAGTTCTAATTAAATTAATGGTTGGGTGATAAATTCTGAATCCATGTATACCAAACTAAAAATGTTGTTTTGTGCATTCTTGCATTGTCAAAAATTTTACTTTTTCCCCCCTGGTTTGCTATCTTCCGCCAAAATATAGTCCCACATGAATTAATACATGTATGCATGTTTTTAAGTGGATTATGGAGATATTAGGACATACATACTACTTTTGAACATCTTCATCAAAATGTGCTTTCAGTTTTTGTTTTGATTTTAATAAAAAAAATTCAGCATCATCATTAATGTGCTTGGTGCCAATTATATTTAAGGAAACAGTGCCTAGAGCATGTGTTTTTTGGCAAAGCCCCATAATTTTTCACAATAAATGAAAAATGTGCCCAAATGAGTTGCAGTAAGACTCGCGTGGCTTCAAGGAGATCAATTTGTGTAACCATCTAGTCAAGGACCTTCCATCTAAGAATAAAGAGCAGAACCAAAATCACTTTCCTGATTTTATAGCATGATTATTATGTGTGGGGAATAAGGGCAGCAAGGATCTAGACGTTCAGCAAGCAGTATTTGTCCCTTGTATTTAATCATTTTTAAAATTTCTTTCTTTTTTTTTTTTTCTAGAAAACTCACACACTTAATCATTTTATAAGTTTCTTTGCCTTATTTGTTTGGAAAAAAATGGTGACAATTATGCCTCGATTCTGATATGGCTAATAAAGAATTCTGCTGACAATGTTACATCAGATATTTAAGACTTTTAAGTTGCTTAAACAAAAATTCTCTGTTTACTATCTACCATCTTATAATATGAGATTTTTGCTATATATGCATTGAGTTGAACTCCTAACTTTCTTGATTAATGAAGCTTGCACATCCACATTAAAGTATTGATTCTTTTTTATTTTTGTTCACTTCAAATATTTGCTAGATTTTATTCTCTCTAATGAACAATGATTTATCTGCTCTAATTGTTTTTTAATTCTATGTTTCAAGGATATCAATTGTGTATAATTTTTATTAGTTGTTTGGTTAGTGGATATGTTTTACTTATGGTTTTGTTTCATTGTTTATTGTATTGCATTTGGATTTTTCTTCATATCTCCAACACTTTCTCTTTCTTGATCCATGCTAGATGTTCGAGAAAATGTTCGAGAGACAAAAATAAAGGGGTTCTCAGATTCTCAGAACTTCAAATTCACTAAGGTAATCGATTTTGTGCCAAAGTTCTCATTCCCTCCCCCTTCGGTACTGGCACTCACACAATACACACATATACAAGGTAATAAGAAGATCTATACACAAGTCTCAACTACTGTATATATATGTATAGATGTATTTATAATTTTGAAATTGTTCTTATAGGTGTTTTTGCATGATTAGGTGGTTGAAAAGAAGTTTACTGTTGGGCTTATGTAAAATCTAGGTAGTTACATCACATCATTATTCTTTTAGCAATTTTACAAAAAAATGAATATGTGTATTTAACGAATATTTCTAATTTTTTGATTTACTCTGTTTCTTATATTTGTAGCCATCATCGTGTACTAAACACCACTGCAAACTCACAACATTGAAAAATGAAAGATCTCACCATTTTTGGTCGTGTGAGTTTAAACATCTAATTTTTTTATTTTTTTTGGCACCACAAAATATTCACATATTTTTTTTACTTTCTTTTCACGCATCTTTTTACAAATTGATGACGACTTAGAGCAAACCGTAAGATGAGCTTCATTTTACTCATATTCTTAATAATTTTTTCTCATATAGTTTGAGTTCATTTACCTATTAAATGCATATTCATGTATAGGTTCAATTACTCAAGAAAAATAACGGTGGTGTTGTGATCCTCGACGAACGCGAACTCAATTGCATCCTCATTTCTGAGGTAGTGTCATGACACATCAGGCTGTTTATAGATTAGACTTTTTTTTAAAAATATAATGATTTTACTTATCTATGCTTACTATCTAAAAGGCAAAAAAAAGAGCGATCGTAATTGCAAATGCAAAGTGTAAAGGAAAAGGAATAACAACCTCTTCTGACAAGGGAAAGGTAAATACTTCGTGTCAAGCGGTATTACATTTCAAACATTTTAACAATGTTATTTTATTGCTCAAACATTTTATTTCTATTATTTAATCTATAGAATTGGGATGAAGCAGTGCAGGAGTTAAAAAGACTAAATGTAAACTAAATTTATTTTTTATTTTCAGTTTATAATTTTAAAATTTCTGTCGTGTATTAAATTTAACTGTTTTTATAAATGTTTGATTGTTGTACATTCCCCCAGTTGGAAGTTGAGGATTTGGATCGATACAATAACATTCAAGGCTGTGATGGAGAAACTTTTTTTTACAATGATGTGCAGATAAATGACCCATTTTACAAATGTACTATATTTAATTACGTTTTGTGTTCATTCTTTAATCTTATCTTATATATGTTTGGGCACAACTCTGAGTTTATTTTGCCATGGTACTATATGTTTAGGCACAACTATGACTTTATGATGGTTGTTATTGTTTTGATGCCTAAAACAATTGGTAAATAGTCATGTTTAGGGATGGTGATGATTAATATTATGATGTTTTTTTAGTAATCAACATGCATATGACATGGTTTGGTTATGATTCTAAAATATATAAGTTTTTTAAAAATATTTCGAAGGGTACTCCGTCAAAAAATTGAAAATTTCTTACATGGATTTCAATCTCTCATTACAGAATTTTTTAATTAAGCAAATTTCTTATATTGGTTTTTGTTCATTCATTGATATAGCTATTGATTTATAAGTAGTTTATGTCATTTTGTTTTTGTGATTAAAGTAGTCTGTGATTGAAAAATTTTATAGGTTTATTTCAATTTTTTAAGAATTTTATCTTCTGTTTATCACTTTTACAAGTATGGATATAGTTGTTTGTATAGGAAGAATTATGCTCTGACGTGATTTGATTATGATTATGAAATATATAAATTTTGTGGCATCATATTTTCAGTGATATTCTATCGAAAAATTGAAAGTTTTTTTTATAGAGTATCCACATTTTGATCCTTTTTAGTTCACTAAAGTTGTGACATTAAAAATAACCAAACGATTTTTAGTTTAATGCATGTTTATATTCATTGTTGGATTATTTCGTGTTTAAAAACTATGTACAGTGTCTTCGGACACGTGATATAGGGCGAGTTTATGTGCTTGATTATTCAATGTTCGATTTTTTTTTTAGTTGTACTAAGCCTTCAGGCACAAGTTATCCCTAGTAAGAGTACAAACAACATCCAATAAATTATGATGTTTGTGTCCGACGACACTATTTTGCTAGGATGTATATGGACATGTAATGATACCATAATCAGCACAAAATGTATGCATTAAGCATTATCAAAACGAAATATCTTAATACATTTAGCAAATTATACAAAAATTTCATTATGGAAGGTAAGAAAAATTTTAGGTAATTCTAAACGATCCTTCATTAGAAACAACCAAGTCATACGAAAATAATCATCAACAAAAATTACAAAATAATGAAACTCATAAATATTTTTTATTCTAGAAGGACCCCAAATGTCAAAGTGAAAAAACAAAATAAGTAAACCGATGACTCATACTTCGAGAAGGAACAGAACTACGATGATACTTGCCTAATTGACAAACCTCACAATCTAACACAATAGAATGACTAAAACTAAGAATGACTAGACAAAGCTTTTGCAGTAAAAGATGACCTAATCGAAAAGGTCACTGGAGGAGAGACACAGTAGCACTCAAGACGGGAACTGCGACTCTAATCCATTTAGTAAGGTTTATTCTGCTCATAACCCAAACTAATCACCTTCTTGTCCAGAGGTCTAAAAAAACATGAGGGAGAAAAAATCACTAAACATTGTAAAGTCTTGTTTAACCGACTCAAATAACAGGTTAAATGGACACTGAGGGAGAAATCAACCAAATGTTAACTACATAAATTCTGTGGGATGGGGATCAATAGTCTCACGCACTAATCTAAAAGAACAATCAACTAACACAATACGAGAGTTAGAAGAAAGAATTAAAAAACAATAAGGAAATACCAAAAATGTGGGCATTAGCTCCCAAATCAATAATCCTAGATGGTGAAACTGATTGAGCTGCCACATGTGTAAAATTAAATGCAGTGGTCAAACCGACAGTTGAAATAGGCAAATGGAGAGAGAGGGAAAACAACTACGTTGTGCAACAAGTCCACCATATTGGTTGAGATAAAAGAATAGTCAGGTCATCAGAAACCTGATTATCATAGGTTGGACTTCCATGTTTATACCAACAATAATCCTCAGTATGTTCAAAAGCTCCATAATAAGAACATTTCCACCTAGAACAATTGTCAAGACCACTACGGCCACCACACCGTCCTCTAGCAATGCTTCTTCCACCACAACTTCTACCTTGGGCTGGATGGCAACCATCTCCACAACCACCACAACTACCGTCACTGGAGAGTAAAATTGAGGACTCTAGTGAAGGTAAGGGAGTCCCACGAGATAGAGAAACTCTCTGAAGACCGGAATAAGTATTGGCAGCAGTTAGAAATTTCTCAATAGCCAAATTTAATTTTTTTTTTTTTGGATTAAAAAACAATTATTAATGATTAAGAAAGAGTCATTACAAATAAAAAACCAAGTCATGAAAAAACACACACAGTAAACAAAACTACAAGTCGCATAATGCTTTATAGCTTGCCCTAATGCAAATAAGAGAAATATCTCTGAACTCCTTAGTCATGGAGGCCCAAAAATAAGTCAAAAAATGAATTCTATCCCATAATCCCTCAATATCTTCACAATTATCCTCGAAAATCCTCATATTACTTTCCTTCCATATCACCCATAATGTAGCAAAGAAAGCACAACTCCAAATGATCTTCCATCTGCTATTTCTCCCTAACCCCACATCAGCCCAACAGAACATAGACTATAAAGACCTTGGAGCGCCCAACAGAAAACCACAAGATCAAAAAGTTTATTCCATAAAACTCGTGCCCAAGGATAATGCAAAAAATAAGAGATCAACACTATCTCCTCTTTTGAAGGACCTCATTTGTGCTAATCTTATACTGACCAAAATCTAATCTTTAGACACACCATATTCAAAATTAAAATTGGATAGCAGTAGAGCAACCTGAAACTCTTCACGTTATGCTCGTGTACCTCTAGATCCGTACTCAATGGCTAATAAAGTAAAAGTTCCTCCCATAACCCTTTCAAAGTGTCAAAATGTTTAGCCAGAGACTTATTGCCTTACTTGGTATTAAACATACACTTAACAAGTTCATAGATCCGAGACACATTATGTTCTTCTGAGTACATCTCTTCAAGAAAGTCCCAAGTCTTCTTAGCTATATCAAAAAGTTAAACATTAAAAGCTACAACGGGCTCCATACTAAGCCGCAACCAAGTTATCACCAAGGAATTCTCACTCAACCAGTCTTTAGAGTCTTTGAAAGTCTTGAGAAGAGGACTTCATTCAAGTACTTGACTTTCTATTTAGCACATAAAAAAATTAGTAATATAGTTTTACTCGGCGAGAAACCTGTTGTGCTCAACAGGTACTTGACTGAAAATACAACTATATTACTCGGGGAAAAACCTGAAACCCAACCCCCGCGGAGAAAAAAAAAACCAACAAAAACAAAGACGAAGAAAATGTTGATGCTCCAGGCATAACTTAAAACTTGGGATATCCTCTCGCTGGAACTCCAACTATGCTTATTGCTTTAAAGAAAAATATTTTGAGTCTCAGGCACAAAAGCCTTTTTCCAGTTATGAGAAGCTTATTCTTTGATCAACATATGAGACAAATTTCTTAGCTAAGGCACAAACAAGGCGCACAGACTTTCTGCTACACACCTCATCAAATCATAAGGAGCTCATCTTTTGCAAAGATTGTTCTGAATTACCATTAACTTCACTTTCACTCTTACCCTCCCGGTGCCATCAGCTTTAACACGTGCATTTGTGTGTTTGTGCTCCCCATTTCTTCTCTTTCCCACTTCGTGGAGCAAGAAGGGAAAAACCAGGGTTGTGGGTGCTTTCCCTGGTTTTTCAAGTGTTGCGGGGGGGAGTATAATCTTACTTGATATCACCATCCAAATTGAAAACAAAGGTGGGATATGATCCTCTACTGGTAAAAACCTGTTGTATGCTCTAGTGGTTACACATCAGCATAAAACAGCTTTTTATGCTGACTTGTACAAAGTTGTTTTACATCATCAACAAATACTATGTCCGCATATAACAGCTTTAAAATACCAGAAATCACTAACACTTGTAAATGAAAATACCAACCACCAGCTAAACACGATAGACAGTATCACCTAATGCACAACCTAATGTTCTGTGCAAGCAAGTTCAAGAGATTGTAATGCATTCCACAGTTACAACTTTTGATCATGGATGGCTATGTCTAGTCAATTAATGGGTTGAATAAAGTATGGATGAAATCTCTTAATAATTCAACAAGGGTGAAAACTATAATTGCATACACAAGATAAAGATTTCCCAGCAATTAAATGGTTCATACCTTGCACTGAAGATCAGTTATTGCTGACCTCAACAGAGTATCGCCAACTATCGACCTCAACTTTCTAACAAAATCATCACGACTAATCTTCTTTGTCTGTCACATATCAGGAATAAGAGAAATACCAAATTAAAATTTCAAGGGATAATTATCTTTCACATCCTTGTGGTTTGGCCCACAATTACCTTATCTCCTTAAAATTTAAAAATAGCCGCATAACTCCCTTGTGTTTCTGAGTGAAACAACTAGCACGGTTAATTGTCATTTCTACCTTTCTTCTTCTCGACAGAACAATCCGCCTCCTTCATAGTTGCCTCTTTTTCATCTTTTTTTTTTTTCTCTATTTTTCTATTGGAAGTATTGTTGATTTCTGAGTACAAAATTTCAATAAGATTTTAGAAACTTCTAGCGAAGTTGTTACCATTTTGAAGAGGTATTGTCATTGTTTGTTCACTCCTATGCAAATTTTGTCCTGATTTATAATATTTACTGTTGTCTTCACTTTACATCAATCATGACTGAAAAAAGCTGAAAATTTTCATGCTTCACCTTTCAAGTTCATAAATTTACATTTTCATTCACACTTCACCATTTTGAACTGAAGGGTCCGCTTGGTGTAATGATGCAACTAGTGGGTATTTATTTGGGTCATAATTTTAACCACGAGGTGCTTCTATCAAATGGGGTTTGGGTGGGTGGAGGTGTCTTGGGCAACAACAAAGATTTGGGTGGTGCAGGTTGCAGTTCAGGTTGATTTTGGTGTTGGGGCTTTGGCAGCAGCATTGATTTGGGAGGTGGTGGCTATGACTATAGTTGATATTGGTGGTGGGTGGTAGACACTTTGGCAACAGAGTTGATTTGGGAGGTGGTGCCTGTGGCTTGTAGTTGATTTGGGTGCTGGATGGTGATGGCTTGACTGGCAGTGTTGGTTTGGGTGGTGATTGTTGCGACTCTGGTTGATTTGGGTGGTTGGCGGTGGGTGGTGGGTGGTGGGTGGGGGTGAATTGGGATGGTGCTGGCTGTGACTGTGATTGGTTTGGTTGTGGATGGTGGTGGCTTGGACAGTTGGTTTTGGTAATGAGATGTCTAAGAAGAGGGGAAGAGGAAGGAGGGGAAAGAAAGGAACAGCGAGGTGAGGTTAAAGGGGTTTATGTTTCTCTAGCATATTATGGATAATTTGGAATTGAATTTTGATGAGAAACAATTTTTGTTACCCAAATGCACAATTTTTGTAGTGTGTGAACTGCAATTGACATCAATTTGAACGGAAAACCAAAAGGTTTCCTTTTGATCCAAAGACACAAGGAGGTTATGTGGCTATTTTAAAATATTTTTCGGCCAAACTACAATGAGGAAGATGATTATTTAAACAAAACATGAGAGAGAGAGAGAGAGATAAATATACATATGCATACCCTGAATAGCTCATAATCAGCATTGACAAGGTTCAGATCTTTAGGAGGCACTTTGTTTGAAATGGCTGCAAACAACAAAGGAAAGGGCAACCAAGGAGACTTCGGAGTCCTCATAAAGCTTGAACCAAGACTAACAGCTTTCTCTTGAGACCTCTCAGAATCCTTGAGGCAATCAGTTCCCTAACAACATCATCAGCAAAGAAGGTTAAGAAGAAAGCTTGCAGCAAGAACATGAAATCCCAGAGCTTTAAACAGAAGTCATACTATGGTGAAGAGTTAAAAGCAGATAAAAAGGATGATAGGACAGGACCAAGTGATGTTCCATGTAATCCAGTATAAAGTCTCGGAAAGCCCAAGCTCAACAACCCATATCCACTAATTTCGTTAAGTCAATTTTTAGCAAAAAACAAAGGACTGCATACCATAGACTGTTAGTTTTCATACAATATTAGCTAAAGTTTTGTCATATCAAAATCGAGACTCTAACCCGAGTCGTTTATTACTCACTAGGGGTGCTTACACACGACATCCCTGTGCCTAATTACAAGAGAGAGAGATAATAAGGAAGCAAAAAGACCAATAAAGATGTGAAGTTCTGGATTGTTAGGATGGTTCAGGGGTAGTATAAAAAAATAAAAAGATATTTCACAATGAGGACACCAAACTCCTCCTCTCTCTTAATTAATACTAATATACGATAGTGAGCCATGTCATTTTTCTGTTTGTATCAAGACCTAATCAACCTGGACCCAATAATTTCATGTTTGTTCCATGTCATATTAATGTATCATGTCCAGAATTGCCAAAATCTAAGTAGGATGTAATCTAAAAACCCTCCTCCCTGTACAACTACAACTCTGATCCACAATCCGTTTTCTGTAACACACAAGTTGTTGTTTAAAGTTCAAAACTTGAATCCTTCCCACCTTATTCCTTCAAGCAGACCCTTGGCATGAAACCTCACAATCAAACATACTTTTATCCATAGTCGGTATACTCGGTACATTGTCTTGGAATATGGTTTTCAAATAATCCAAAATACAACAAATATTAGTTAACTATACATATACGGATGTAAGCAAATTATGACACAAAATAGAGAACCAAATAAGCCTTACACCCATTGCAACGCGTCTCGGAAAAAGTATCTTACTACATCCCACGTACCAAATCAACCACTAGTCAAGTAAGTTCCGCAGGCATGTAGGTAAAATAACAACATTTTGGGGCTTTAACCTAGGTCCTACCAAGCCTTACATATTAAACTTCTCTATGAAGCACGGATACTCTCAAGAAGGTGGCGTAACCGTATCGGACACGGACACTCCCGGGCACATGTTCAAGTTCCCCTTAATAGGTATAGTAAGCCACGTTAAACCCGTACTATTTCCACAAAGGGTTTCTTCGGTGGCGACTGAAGCAGTATCGAAGTCCTTACCCCATAAGAATGAGGCACGCCATTCAACTGACTTCCATCACTCACCGCAGCTTTTTGACTTATGATCTAAGGTTTTTTTGATGGGTTTCTTCCGCTTTCTTTTAAGACCGTTCCTCCACTCAGAATGGTTATCGGACAAGAAAGAGTAGATTTGCGGCCCGAAACATCTATGCTCCTGCTTTGAAAATCTCTTTCATACTATTTTATCCGTGTCCATAATTAAATGATAAATCCAATACTTTTTTGGTGACGTATCTAACACTTCTTTAAACCGTATCTATTAATAAAAAATATGTGTTGTCATGTGATTAACAAAACTTAAAAATTTGATAAATAATATCTTATACTATGAGAGAATAAATAATTATCAAGACTAGACATATTAAATTGTACTTAAAATATAATAACAAAATCAAAAGATACAGATAGAGCAATTGAGAAAATGAAAGCAATCATTTAAATTATATATTTACAATTTACTTATCATAAAATCCTGAACGTTTTATGAATAAAATATTATTATACTATATTTGTGATAAATTATATAATTTTATATATAAAATATGATTATTTGTAGCGTGTGCCCAATGTGTCCGTGTCCTAATTTTTTAAAAATGTTGTGTTTGCGTGTTTGTGACCGTGCTTCTCAGAAACTTTTTTGCTGTTCAGCTGAATACTACCAAGGGAGAAAAACAAGGCCTTGCTGGGCCCATTGACTTTTTACATTTCAAAACCAGACCATGGACGATGAACACAACTAGTCATCTCCATATGCCATCAAAAGAGCATGGGTCGCTGACCTGATATATGCAGAAAATTGCTAAGATAATCCCAATTGCGTTGAGAGTCTTGAACAAATTTAGAAACCCTTTAGAGAACTACTAGACAAAGGAAGTTCAAACCAGAAAAGAAGAATGAATGAAGCAATAATATGTTGGAAAGCATACCAACTCAGCAGGAGGGGAATCTAACGGTAACAGAACCTGAAGCCCTTCACAATTAGTGACTCCAGAAATATCAAGCTTGCTATCATTTCCAACCAGAAATCCTGCAAGAACAATGAAAAGACGAGAGCTCAAGTGCTAAAAGTGTTTCAAAGAAAGAAGAAAAACTATATTTGTATTTCAAAAAGACTAAAAAAGGATACATCCTCTACAGAAGAACCCACAAGTTCGATTGGGTGATATCTGTTGAACGTAACAGCCCCAAAAGCACAACCAACTGGAGATATCTAAGCAACGAAGAACGTTTTCAATACCAGCAAGTTTTTTTAACTTTCACCCCCAAGTTCCAAAAGAAAATGGACAGTGGATCACCTGATAGGTCTCGGACCACCCTAATCTTGTTCGCAATTGCTCCATCAAACATATCAATCGACTAAAATGCATTTTACACATTTTGGAAAATGACATGGAAAAAAAATAAAAGAAAAAAGAACATGCAATGGACCTAAAAAATATCACCTTGAGCATCAGAAGAGACTTTGAAACTAACAACATATTCTGGGTAGATATGAGTATTCATATTCATATTCCATACTACATAATGCTTTGGATCTTGAAGATCATCAACTCCACTATCAAAGTCCTCGCCACTGGGATGGAACTGTTTAGATCCAGGCAGAACAATCTCCATGTTTCCCATTATCACATGACAAAATACCATGTGTCGTAACCCATTTTCGTCAACATCACAATAAGTTGCACTGTTAGAAAAAAAAAACAAAAGCTAAATTCGTCTGCAAAGCACATGATTAAAAATTATGGTAACATGAGTGATAAAAAGCGGCTACAACGGTTACATATCCCGTGGAATTCTATGGGAGTGGCAAAAACCATGCCAAACATACTTACTGTTGCCCGTAAATAACAACTGCAGTCTCGCAGACACAAAGGGACCCAATAGGTTGCTCATACCACAACTTTATTGCATATTTTTCAGTTGAACAAAACGGAAAGTACATAAAATAACACACCAAACATTCATAGTGGCAATATAAATAAACACACTGACACAAGGTACAACAAAAACCGCCAAAATTGCTGGTCTTGCTCCAACAAAGATTTTATCAAACCAGCAGCAAATGTAAAAGGAGTCAATACAGTTGCATCAAATAAGTTTTAATAAAATAGGTTTAGCATCAAATAAGTTTAGTAAAATAGGTTTACTCTGATAGCTAGCCATTAAATGTAAAGAAATGACCATACCAACAAATGCACCAAAACCAAACCTTGTGTCCCAATGATTTGGGGTCAGCGCTAATCATACCAACACATGCACCAGTTAAATGCATCGAGCCTTAGACATGATTGGTGCACAACCATAAAGTTGGAAAAGAAACATAGCAATGCGGGCACAAATATCTTCATTGTCAACCTTCCCAAAACGAATGATCCGATCAAACCAAGTGCACCTCCAACAGTGATGATACATCAAATATAGGAAGTACAGACATTTCATTTTGGCCAGAGTTGGTGTCGAACACGCTTTGGACATGCTTGGATACATGTCGAACACGCTAAAATGAGTGTCAGAATTTTTATTGTTAAATTCTTTTCGGGACACTCAGCCAACATGCTCAAGACATGTGAGATTTTTTCTAAAACTTTTTGAAAACTTGTTAGATGACTTTGGTTGCGTTTGGTAACCGTTTTGTTTTTGTTTTTAGTTTAAAAAAAAAAAAGTGCGTTTGGTATGTGTTTTCGCTTTTTTTCATCCAATTTGTTTTGAATACAAGCCCAACTTTTGCAAACAAAAAATTGATGTTTTCAAAAACAGAAAAAAATGAAAACACGCACACATTGAGAGAACTTTAATGAGGTCCACCCATTAGCAATCTCTAGAGCCTGTCTATCTCTCCCTTCTATAACGCCATAACAACTGTCAGATTTGCTCTCCTCTCCATCTTTGTTCGATTTCTACCTCTCAAGCTCAAATCCACATCGAAAAGTAATTTTTTTCCTACATAATTACATATGCAAAGATCTCTCTATGTGTGTGTGTATACAGATCTCTGTATATATATGTGCATAGATCGGCATATATATTGTTATATATACATAGATTTGTGTGTATGTGCTTTGGTGTGAGTCTCAGCGTGTGTACACACGTTTGTGCGGGTGTGTGTGCATTTGTGTGTGTTTTTTTGTTTGGGGGTTTTTTTTTTTTTTTTGGGGGGGGGGGGGAGAGTGCGTGTGTATATGTGCCTTGTGGGTTTGTGATAATTGTGAGGAGGGAGGTGGGAACTTTATGTGTTAAGATTTTTTTTGTGTTCTTATTGCCCTCAACTTTTAATTCCATTGTAATGAAAAATATATGAAATTATGTGCTGCCCGTTTGTAGAATTGTATGCTTAAGAGTACTATGAAGTATAAGGTATTGAAAAGTTTCCTTACACTTTTAAGTTGTGTTGTAAAGAGGATGAAGAATTGTTTTCTTATTATTTATTTCAGCTCTTAAAGTAGGAATTTGATTTAGATGGAAAAATGAATTTTATACCTAAACTATGCCCTGGAGCCATAACTTGTTCAGAATTTTATGTTAGGGGCAATTTCCTTAATATTTTTGTCCTGAAGGAATGGGCTGCCATGTTGGGTTTTTGGTTTCCAATTCTTATTCATCCAGTATGATATACAAAGTTATGTTCTTGGAATGCAGTGTTCAAATATTTTCAAGTGGATTACTTTGACAAGTTCTAATTGCAATACTTCTAATAATTGCAGCTAGAATTTTCGATGGAATTCCCAACTTGAGATGGTTCAGCATGAAAGGAGACAATAATGTTCTAGTGATGGATTTGCTTGGACCTAATCTTAAAGATCTATTCAATTTTTGCAGTAGGAAACTTCCTACTTCCTTTGAAGATAGAATTTGATAGTATGTTGAACAATGGGATGGTAGTATTCATGTATTTGGTAGAATATTAAACAATGGAATGCAGTGGTATGTTTAATGATTTATGTAATTCAAGTATTTTGGTTTGTCTCTTACTTGATGAGTTTATATACTGGAAAAATGAATTTTGATTTGTTTTTTAGTAGATAATTAATATAAAACTACTAAATATGAAATAAATTAAAGTAGTTACCAAATATGTTTTCTATTTTAGTTTTTATAAATTGTCAAACAAAAACGACAACCAAATAAAAAACGTTACCAAAAAACAGAAAAATAAGTTTACTGTTTCAACTATTTTTTTTTCTGCGCTAAAAAACAGAAAACGTTACCAAATGCACCCTTCATAATTAAGAGTTATTTTTGTAATTTTAAAGAGAGATGAGTCAAAGTTATAATATAAAAGAAGTTCTAATCTCTACATTGAACATAGGACATGAATTTAACATAATTTTGGATACTAATACGAACTTATATATATACAAATGAAATAAACTTTTAATATGAAAGTAATGTGAAAAAAATGGAAATACAAAATTGGGACTCTTTGAAATTTATGAAAATCAATAATACGAAGTGGAATATTTTTGAAAATAAAAGTTGTAGTAATCACTGATTGTTGGATCATGTATGTTAATGTTGAATGTGTATCGGTATACAATTTGAATGGATTCGTTGTTTGGAGAAGAAAACTCTGACCTGGAATAAGTGTAGTTCACAGGTGTTAGATGAGCACCAATGCCATACGTGAACTTCATTTTGACTGGTCCACAATGGCCAAGTCCAAATGTCATAATACTAGATAGTGCTGCTTTTGAAGAAGGAAGCCAAGCATATCGGACATTTGCATTTCCACGAAACTTTTTGGTGATTTCAACCTGCTTTTGGAAAAGTTCAAATCTAGCGTGCACTGAAATACCTGAACCACGATATATTTCAACTATCTTCGGATTTATAAGGGAGCTCATGCCCTTGAAAAACATTTCCTGCACAGTATCAGAATCCAAAACTCCATGTACAGGATCAATCTTGACCAAGTTTTCCTCCATCTGTTTACTTTCGTCAAAAGCCTCATCATCTTTTGCACAATATTTTGTCACACAGTTATCATCAACTTCTACATTGAAATCATTGCAACCATGTTTACCATTTACTGTAGGTTTCTTTACTAAATCATTTGACTCTCCGCTAGATTCCTTCAATGTAGAGCAATCTGACCCACTTATTTCAATCTCAAGCTGCAACTTGATATCATTGGACCCAGAAGGTTCTAAAACTAGAAACTCGTGATCTTTCTTGTATTCATGGTGGCAGCATTCATTAAATTCATTACAATCAGAAAAGTTTTCTGGGAAAAAGCAGTTGCCTGCTTCATCAATCCAGGCAATAGGTTGCTGTAGACCCGTCTTCAAGTCCAATCGTATCATATGCAAAAAGTCTAGCACAAAAGCATGTCCATCAAACTCCACCTCAATGGCAGCTTTCTTTACCTGAAGATCTTTCTTAACCAAACCAACAAAATCCGGAGGAAAGTCAATCCATTCGCCATTCTGGTAACACATCAAGCGTTGTGGTAGTCCACTTTTGGTAAAGTTTGAATAACATTTTAGCAGAGATGTTCTAAATTGAGAAACATAGCCAATACACTTGGTTTCCAATCTATCCAATTTCCTTTTCTTTCCAAACTTGTGAATTGACGAATTCAAGGTGGACTGCTGTGGTAACACCATGCGGGTAGCTCCAGTAAAATATGTCTCACATCGCGCTGCCCGCTTTCTTTTCAAACCAACCACAACCCGATGACCACTATCCAATACCTTTGCGAACTTTGTTTCCATTTCTACCCACAGGATCAATCCCTATCCACAGATTTAAAGCCAAATATTCAAAGATAACATTTATATATGACTTAGTTTTGGCAATCTCTCAGAGAAATAATGCCATTGATGATAGTAATCCCTGGGCAACAAAAACCAATAAATTAATATATGTGACATTCTAGACATAAATAATTTGTATAGATAAATTAATGGCATGGTATGTAAACAACTTCAGTCAGTCACTATTAGATGCCACAAAAAAGGATGGATCAAATATCAATATGTAGTAAGTACATAGCAAAACTTTAAGACAAGCCATCAACATGCAATATGTGATGCATGTGTACCAAACAATAAGAGGGACAAGAAATTGCAAGAAAAGAAAAAGTATTTTCAATCACAACTGCTCATATATGTGTGTGTACATATATGTTCGCGTGCTTATGATAAAAGAGATTGTGGTGTGCTCCAGATTTATCAGACATACATAACAATTTTGGACAGAAAAAATAATCATTAAAAAAGATTTCGTAACAGCAAGTAAATAAAAAACAAAGTGTGTTGCTAAAGATGAAAGCCACCTTCAAGCGTAATGAGATTCGTAATAAGAAGTAAATACGAAACAAATTGTATTGTTAAAGATGAAAGACATCTGCATGGCACTAATACCATATTCCATATATTGTCCAACATACTAAGATAAAATGTCATATGACCAAGGATCAAAATTTCGTTTTGGTGCATTGTTTTAATCACCTAGAAAACAGAAACGTTTCAACATGTTTCAAAAATGTTTCGAAAATATAATGAAAAAAATAAAAAATTTAAGAATTATTTTTTTAAAACATTGTTCGAAATATACCAAAATATCTTGAAATATCTTGAAACATTCCGAAATAATTGTACAAATGTATTGAAATATAACAAAACATTTTGAAACATTATGGAACACCTCGAAGTATTAGAATTTCAATTTCATCACTAATTCGTTTCGGTCTCCTTAGAAACGGAAATGTTTCGGTCTCCTTAGAAACGGAAATGTTTCGGATGTTTCCACCGTTTTGAAACGATATTTTGATCCTTGCATATGACACACTTGCATTACTGAATATTCAGACTCATTTAAAGCACTTTCCCAATATATTCTGTTTCCAAAATTTGCATGCAGCTAATGCGCTTTACTACTGTGCATTTGCTTATCTCTTTAGACGTGAAAAAGATAAGCAAAAAGCCCACATTCGCATCCTGCAGTTTTTGGAAAGAAAATTCAACATTCTACATATTGGTAAACCACCGTATTAACGGCAAAAAATTCCCACTTCCCTGGCACATGCAATAAACTGGATGTAAAATTCACCACAATAAAACATAAATTATTCGGTAGTTAAAAAATAGAGATGAATGAGAAAGCACGTGTTTGGGTATAAATTTTCCGAGACAAACCGTCCAAAAATTCACATATAAGGGCATCTCCCATCTTTATCCTTTTTTAGACACAAATTTAAATTTGGTAAAAAAAAACACCCTCAAAAATCTTCTTCAATCTTATACCCAAATTCATACCAAATTAAGAGAGACTTAAGCCTAGGTCTAAATAAAGGGAGACACAAAACCTAGATCCAAAATCTAACGGTAAAAAACCTGCTTCTCTCTTCTCCTCCAACAGCTTCACTCTTCCGCTCTCCGCATCCTCCTCCACTTCGCCTACTTCCAGGTATCTCTCTCTCTTTCTCTCTCTCCTTCTAGTTTTAACTTAAATCTCAACACATATATAAATCAATTCATTGTAGTTGTTGCCCATGTTGGTTTTTAGCAATTCCCCAATACTCCACATGGAATTGCTTTTATTATTTACAAATCTTTGTGTTATGGGAGTCTTGGTGGATATGGCTAGTTTATTAGAACATGTGATGACTTCTTGGTGTTTTTTAAGTCCTGTGCGGTGGAGTCGTCTTGCTAGAATAGAGGTAGGCTTAGTTTAATGCTTTTAAGTATTGTAGTTGCAAGTCCATGATTTTTTTAGGTTGATTAATAACAGTAGCCTTTTGGGCATTCCACTCTTGATTTTCTTATTTTATTTTTCTTGTTATGAACAATTTCTTTTGTGTTTGAGATTACTTTGAATGCTTGATATTTTTTTAGATCCTACATCTTTAATGAACAATCTCCTCACATGGTGTAATATTGCCATTGAATTTGTATTTGATTAAGTATCTGTTTGTATTTGTTGATCTTAAATTGTCTGTTATTGGTTCATTTGTTTCAAAAAAAGTAAGCAAGATCCACAAGTCATAAGAAGCTACAGCTTCAATTATTATAGTAGATTTTTTACATGACTGCAATATTGACCTTGCCATACAGTTGGACAATTTTTTCATTCCCAGTGCATATAATCCAAGTATCCCAACATTCCAGGAAATCCACGAGCCTCTCCAAGTAATCTAGCAATATCATCTTCCCTTGGAGATATGAGTTATTCATCCCCAAAAACTTCAATAATTGTTTGACAAAAAAATTTAAAACTTAAGATTGCAATGTTTTCTGCAATTTGCACATAATCATGCACGGCTTCTACTAGAATTTCATATGCGAGCATTCCAATTGACGATGTCATTTTTTGAAGGGGTGACAATCCAATAACATGACACGCATCTTCTTTTTGAACAAAATAGGGGTTGTGTGCTTCAATAGCATTGAGAATGTGCATAAATAAATCAAGTGACATTCGGAAGCGCCTCTGAAATGTTGAAAGTGAATAAATTGGATTTTTGGCAAAATAATCAACGCCGATCATGACCATTTTGTCTTTCACGACGAATACATTTTCGGCCAAGTACAGAATGTTGGTTTGGTTGTTCTACCTCTTCTCTTCCACCATTGTGACATTATTTGTCTCATAAAGAGCCACAAATGAAGCTATCGGATGAAGAAGAGGAGGAAGAGGAATATGAAAAAGGAGTGAACAAAGAATACTTGAAAGAATTCATTTCTATTAAGAATGTTGAAATTTTATGTTAATGATATAGGTTCTTTATACAAAATATTTGCTAAAATTGGTAGGGAAGAGTTAAAATGGTAGGAAAAAATAAGGAGGGAATGATAAATTCAGGGGGAAAGAGTTATTGGTGGGAAAAAATGAAAGGAAAAAGCTCTTGGGATAAGCTAGGAATTTTTTACAAAGATTTGAGTGCAAAACAGGTTCAACATCATACCAAATCAAGCTTTTTACCCTTTTTTTTACTCAAATTTGGGTAAGGATTTCGGTCTCCATTGGAGATGGTCTTAGTGCATATGGCATGACTATAATATAAAGATTCAACAGTTGAACACTGAATCTACTCACAAGGTATAGTATTTTCAACAAACCAAAACTAGAGCACAGAAACCCCCTAATGCAAGCAAAAATAATAACCAAGACTTTTACACGCCACAGCACTTCAAATTATGTTGATCGTCCCTTTTTAAAAAAAAAGAACTGGTCAAGAAAATGATTGTGATTGTATTTTCAATCAACTGCTAAAATCAATAACTTCACATAATTAGAAACTTTTCCAAGAACAAAAGCAAACAGAAATATATAGATACATGTCTGCGCAGATCTGGATAAACTTACTTCAAACTTTGCAACTTTTTCCAAGAACAGAAACACATTACATATCCAAACATACAAATATACAGGGCGCGACGTAAATGATTGATGATACAGAGAGAGTCGACCAATGTTCTGCCTCCTTCTTCTTCCTTCTTTTTCGGTAGAAGTTTCAAACCCTAAGTTGGCTCAAAGCCAATGAAGGCTCTCAATGGGGACCGCCATCCTCTATTGTATTTTCTTTTCTTGTACAGTAAGTCAAAAATAGAAATCTTTTGACAACTGTGTCCCTCTCGAGGATCTCATGACCTGAGTGAAACGATTCGTCCATAATGATTAGTGCTCTGTCACTCCATGCCGCTCTGAGAGCGAATTGGCCATTAATTCGTGCATTCATGTTATTGAATTCGCGGATTCAAGCTTACGAATCAGCGAATTTAACTAAGAAAATCAATGGATTTGACTAATTAATTCCGCTAATTCGAGTAACCAAAATGGCGAATTAACATTATAGAATCCACAAATTCTAGATGAATTAACATGTTTGACATAGACTCAGTTCAAAAACCCCCAAGATTTGTAACGAAATCGAATCGAGAGGACAGAATTGTTCAGCAGCCGAGGGAAAAAAAACAAAGAAAATACGGGATTGATAAAAAGAAATCCAAAATTGCAAACCCTAAATCACAGAAACCCACATGCAATCGGTCAATCATTCAACCCCAAAATCACGCCACTGTTGCAATTACACACACAGATGATGAATTTTGAGAGAATATGGGCATACCAGACAACTGCTGTGAGAATCGCAGAGAACAGAAGGTCCTTTATCTGATTCGTCTTAAACTTCTTCGGATGCAACTTCGTCGTCTTTGACTTCGTCTTTGCTAAGCATCATATAGAAGGATGAGTAGCCCAGCCCCTTCCTCACGCAACGAGGACGACGTTTCTTCCGTTTCCGACTTTCTTCTCTCCCTCCCCCCCACCCCCCTGAAGCATGAAAAATGAGGATTCAGAGAATCTCTCACGCTATTTAGGTAAGTTTTTCAGTTTTGGAAATATGTTAATATTTCTATTTTAAATTATATTTTTATAACATTTCTCTATTTAACACCTAAAAATTTTTAAATATTATATCTTATTATTAAACTTAAATGATACTTTTTTCAAATAAAAATATTATATATTAATATAAAATATAACGACACTTTTATTCAAAAAAAATTAAAATCTTATCGCTTTTCGTTCTTGGTCCGCTCCTGCTCTGTATGGTCTACCCACGTCTAATAATTTCTTTAAAAGTGGAAGGGTGTTTTGGTCAAAAAGGGTAAGATAAAATAAAGAAGGATTATAAAGAGGGGGTTATCATTTTAGGTGCAAGGACGAGGCCGTTGGACAATGTAAACAGAAGACGAAAACCATGAGAATTTCTAGCTACACACGTTGGAAGTGTGGTTCGAATTAAAGTAGGGTCCGCCCACCGCCTTGAATTTCCATACTAGGGTCCAATCGAATTACTTCGGGGACGGTTTTAAATAAATTTATTTAACGGTTATCAACATCTCACTCAAAATTATTCATATTACACTGTGTCTTCAAAAATAAGTTATCTCTAAAGTGACAATCGAATTGTGTCATTTTAAATTATTTTATATCAAGAGCTGTGGTCAAATTGGAGTGATTTAATTTTAAATTTTTGAACACAATCATGCACAAATTATTCACTTATCAACCACACTTGATACGCACAACAAAATAAATACATATATTATAAATTCATAGTCCATAATCCGATTCATAGTCCACGTACCTTTTCCTAAGGCGGGGTGAGATGGCTTCCCCTTCTCTTTGACTCACCAAAGGGCTAAGTATAGTAGGTTTGTTAATCAAACTGAGCTACTCGAGTTTGGTTTGAATTTAGTTCGAGTTCGGCTCAATCAGACTCGGTTCGTTTTTTAAACGAACCAAACTTGAACAATTTTTTAACTCGATTAAAAAATAAATGTTTCAAGTTTAGCTCAAAACTTGGCTTAGACTTGTTCAACTAACAACCCTAGCTAGGCAGTCTAACCTTAAAAAAAAACAAGAAAAATTTCAATCACATATATTCTAATTTCCTATATCTTTAAAGACACTTCTTTTATTATCAAAACCATCATTGATATCCCTGTCTTTAAACCACTATTTCTAACAAAAAAATCATTCATCTAAAATACCAAAAATACCCCAATATAAATATCAAACAATATTTCTACATAAAATTTAATTAAAATTCAAGTCGATAAAAATTTATTTTTTTTACATATTAGAATTCGAGTTGATTAAAATTCATTTTTCTACATATTAAATTCGAGTTGATTAAAATTTGATTCGAGCTAATTAAATTTTATTTTTTTACATATTAAAATTTAAGGCAATTTAAGCTCTACATAAGATGTTAGTGTCGATTAAAATTCGCTTTAAGCCAACTGAAATTTATATTTTTTTACTTATTAAAATTTACATCAATTAAAATTGGATTCAAGTTATTTAAAAAAAAAAATTACGTATTAAAAATTGAGTCGATTAAAGTTTATATTTTTTTATGTATCAAAATTCAGACTGATTAAAATTCAATGCAAGTTGATTAAAATTTAATTTGAGCCAATTAATAATGATTAAAAATATTTTTTAATGACTCAAATTTTAATAAGCAAAAAAATATATAATTTTTAATCAACTTGAATTTTAATACGTAAAAAACAATTTTAATGAGCTCAAATCAAATTTTAATCTGCCAGAATTTTAATATTTAAATAAAATTAGAAAATAAAAATGATCTCATTGAAAATATGTTTACCTAGAAGAGGCATGGATAAATTTTTTCCTCAAATACATCATTGACAATTTAATAAAATTAAATTTTAGTTAACATATTTAATCTGAGATGTCACCGAAGATTTAGAAATAGTATGGCTAAAATTTTCCCTAAACAAAAAAAAAGGAGGCAGGCGGTGAAATTATAAAAGGTATTTCTTTTTTTGGTCAGAAAACTATAAAAGGTATAATAAGTACATAATTTGCATAAAAACTAGGGTTAATTGCAGCAGTAGTCCCAAAATTTGCACTTTTTTCTCATTTTGCTCAAAATTGTTATAATTGTATTACATTGGTTCTTGATATATTGAATTTGTTTTTAAGTGATCCCCACATATAACACTATCTAAATTTTTAACGATTTATGTTCATGTAATTTAGACATGCTCTCAAATGAAAGGTATTTTAGATAAATTACTGTCAACTTGACTCCAAAAATGCAGTAATAGTCCCCAAAATATATACCAGGCTTGGCAATCGTGTCTAGCAGAACGATTTCGTGTTGAATGGAACGGGTTTGTATCAAAAACCTCTCCATCCATACCCCATTCGTTTATATAAACAAGTCTAATTATCACACTCATACACGAATCAATTATTAAACGGACTATCCGATACAACTCTTGTGTCACCCACTAAATAAGAGAATAAGTTAGAGTATTTCGAGTACACACAAAAAATCATCAACTTGTTACACATTATACATGTTTGACCTGTTTATTATAACAATAAATCATTACTGAGCAAAAAATAAACATTAAATGACTACTAAATTTAAATGACTCTAAGAGATGGGAAGTGTAGGATAAGACAGAGGTTGAGAGACTTAATATTTTAAAAAAAAAATTATAATACCATTGTTAATAAGTTAAACGAATTGAAACAAGTATCTGAGTTAAACACAAATTGGTTCATTTATTTTACGGATTTATCGAGTTAACCGATTAACCACCCAAACTCGTTAAGACTACACTCAATCCTGCTAAATCCATGTTAAATTCGTGTCAATTTCACAAGTCGTGTCTAAAATTGTCATGCCTAGTATATACACTACTTCTCATTTTGATTCCACAACATTTTAAGGACTATTGTAATAGTGTAATGTAGGGAGACCAAAATGAGACAAAGTAATACTTTTAGACTACAGCTGTGATTTTTGGATTAAGTAGACAATAATTTACCTAAAATACCCTTCATTTGGCAGCATGTAAAAAACATGAGCAAAAAACCGTTAAAAATTTAGATGGTGTTATACATGGAGACCACTTAAAAATAAATTCAACACATCAAGAACTAATGTAATACAATTGCAACATTGGAGATCAAAATGAAACGAAATGCAAACTTTAAAAACCATCGTTGCAATTAACCCTAAAAACTAACTGGTATCAAGTTGGCTAATGTTTGGTAAAACTTCCCTCTTTTTTTCCCTCTCTGAAATGGGTTCTGCACAAGGTCAAAAATGGCACAAAACCAGATGTACAAGTGGAATGGCAAAAATTGTGTGCATACAAAACTACAACCTTATAGAAGACAAAAAATTTCACAAATCATTAAGAGGGTACTCCAAAAAAATGACAACAGATGTAAATTCATTATGAATATATACGAGGCACCTGCAGTACAAGGAGCAGTTCAATTGTTTTCCCGAGTCTACTAAATACAGTAATTACGGCAAGTTCTAGATGCATTCGCTGCCAAAAAATCATTATGAATACATACGACGCACCTACATTACCAGGAGTGGTTCAATTGTTTTCCCGACTCTACCAAAAACCGTAATTACAGCAATTCCTAGACGCATCCGCTTCCAGTAACTATGACCCTCTGCTTAAAAAAACTGCATCACATTGCAGATCAGATCAAATTTATTTAAGACATTGATCTTACCTAAAGATGTAGCAGTCATACAAGATGAACATTAATAACAAGAAGCAAAAAAGGAAAGTAACCAGAAGAAAATGTCACATAGAAAACGTTATAGGGTTTACGACTTCATATTGCCATATTCGAGTGCACAGCAGCAAAATTACACTCAACATGGTATGCCAAACAACTGAGATCAACAAGGAAGCAAACTACGATATCAAACAGCCTCCACATTCTTGCTACTTCTTCGGCACTTCCAATTGGCATGCAGAATTGGATGGTAGCTGCAAATCAAGACCAGCCAAAGACAAAGCTTCTAAGTTTCAAAACTGCTTCACATAAGCCAAATGTAAACAAAATGGACTCCATGACCAGGACGTGCTTCATCATGAATCACACATAGAGATGTTGCTTAGCAGCACAACCAACGATCCCGTACAATAGGAGAAAAATGAAACCACTAGTTGAAAAGACAAGAAAAAGGCTTTGACTCTTAAACAACTTCTCGTTTTTAGTCAGCAATGGATTCAGGATTTACGCTTAGGGAGGACGAATTCATTCCACAGATTTATGGAGGAAAGTTTGGAAAGACAAATTCCTTGAAATTGTGAAGATTACTTCATAAATTCTATATCATGAAAGAAAGGAATGTCTCACATCTTATGGGGCACTCATCCCTCCTTAAATCCATGGTGTTGTTAGTTGTTACCTTGCCATGTCAAACATCACTTTTCATCCTTTCTTCTTTTTCTAATTCTATGCCGCTTAGTTAAATAGACACATTTCACTTATAGTAGCACCCCACCCACCCCCAAAAGAAAGCCAAAAAAGACATATATATAGTAGAAGCCTGTCAATACCTCATAGGTCGTTCCCCCCACCCCAAAAGTCATGCCCCTTTTGTGTCCAATAACTGTTGATGCAGCCATCTTAACCCAATAGATCTTTATGGACCATTAAAGCGAATATCACAGGGTATACCAGTACAAGGATTTAAAACACAGTTTCCGCCTGAAGGTAGTGCACATTTTAATTAATGACCAGCTCCTTGGCCTCTTAAAATGCATACCATGATTTTTTTTTAATTAATGCATACCATTATCTCTAACAGTATGAGCCTTCAGATTGGATGCTTCGAGACAGAAGAAAAATAAATAGATGGCCGCTTTTGGTTACAACATAATTATTCAACAGTGGCACCTTTTGAGAACCATCAGCTCCACTTAAGATACGAATGTTATAGCCCAAATACATCCACATATGCAGACATACAAATATGTAATTTTATATATAAGCGGCATTGCTTTTGTATTACATATAGATGCATTTTACACATCACATGGCATCATTCAGTAGTGTCATACTGGCAGCAGCTGTCCTAAACTTAAAGCAAGCAACAAGTCATTTAACCTAGCAATAAGTATCAAAATGTTTTGAAAAATCACATACAATACGACTCCAATTCAACAATTAATTATTCATGAAATGAATAAATAGAAAATCCCACGAGCTACTAGTTATGTCCCCAAATGAAGCAGTGGTGGTCAAATCAAACAAATCTAATCATACCTTGCGGAGGCTTGTAATTGTAGACTTCAACAACTGATCCCCAACAATCAATCTCAACTTTTTAATAAAATCATCCCGGCTGAGTTTCTTGCTCTAATAACATACCCAACAAGAGGGACATAAATATACTCAAAATTAGGAAAACATCAACCATAACCACCAGACTAAGACTAAGGGCACGTTGGATGACAATAATCTTAATTGAGAATGAATATCTCGTTCCTAGGAATGAGATACCCGAGTTTTAATTACCATAATAATCTTTTATTTAGTGTTTAGTTATTGTCAATAATCTAATGTGAGAATTAATGTTATTGTCAAATTATTTTAGGAAATAATTTAATTTTATAAAGTAGATTGATTTTAGGAGGAGGACTTAATCTTTAAAATGAAGTTAATTTTAGGAAAGAGTTTCATTTTGGGATTTTTATTCCATTTATAGAATACCCAATCAGTGTAGGTATGAGATTACCATCGCTGATTATAGGTTTAGGACACCCACCATTATTGAGAATTGGATTACGGTAGTAATCTTATTCCCGATTTAAATTACTGAATAATTGACTCTCCAAACATGGTAATCTAGGATTTAGGAATGAAAATCCCATTTCCAATTAAGATTACCGCCATCCAAACAGAGCCTAAGAGATTACTTAAACATACCCTGAACAAGTCATATTGAAGATGCACCAATTTCATATCTTTAGAAGAAACTTCATTCGAAATAGCTTGAAAAAGCATAGGAAAAGGCATCCAAGGGGATTTAGGAGCCTTCGAACTGCTTGAACCAACGCTATGGGCGTCTACTTGAGATTTGTTCACGAACTGGTAGGTTTTTCCCACCTAGCAAATAAACAAAGATGACGGTGAAAGCTGGAAAACCTTGACAGCAATGAAAGCAAATAGCTAAAAACAGCAAACAATGGCTAGCTTCCATCAAGCATATAAAAAAAAAGGAATTTTTTTTACAAATACTTGTCCAAGTCATTAAGAAGCAATAAGAGATCTGCCACTTCGGCATTCATATTTCATAAAAGACAATGAGATCCCTTACCAATATTCGAATGGTTTATGGTTCCGCTCTCCAAAATGAAGAACAAAAGAATAAAATTGTAATAAGCATTTGTATAATAAGTGCTATTTCCAAAAAGGAGTTGCAGTAATGCCCTGGAAAGTTTGGGATAGATACTTGGTAAAACCAACAAGACATTAAAACCGAACCCAAGATCCAACCCACACTCAACATCTTCCGGTGCAGATAACCGCACGACTTAACAATGAATTGACTAGCAAACCAACAAAGTTTAATGTGACACATATTCATAAAACACATCATAGTTATCCACATCTTCCTTAGTAGACAAAGTTCTTTATGTTACAATATATAGTTACACATTACAACAGAATCCTGACTCAAGTAAAGCCTGTCAAACCTCAAGCAATAGATGCGAGTCCAGGCCTCCCCACATATTAGTAAATCTCTAGCTTAAGCTCAGGTCCTAGACCGGAAAGAACATAAGAAACCCTTACGGTGGCTTGGGTGCCATCATCTTGTGCCAACAAAAAGAGCACTTCCCTGTTGCTCCTTATAACAATGTACTAAAGCAGAAAGGATGTCCCCTGAAGATTTGCTGTCCACTAGATAAATTTAGCAAAGAAGACAGATTTGTTGTCTGCTAGACAAATTTAGTACAGACCAACAATGAGAGCATCTGTTAGTATAGCGAGAATTACCGATTTGACTGACGAAGAATCCAGCTGCAACTTGCCCTGAGGTCCCTGACTAGTAACTCCAGACAAGTCAAACCTGCTTTCTTCCACAACCGGAGCCCCTGCAGTAGTGCAGAGTCATTGAGATAGTCCCATACTCCAGTACTCAAATGATATTTTTAAACAAGAACTCTAATACTTGTGGAGGAAAAATCATCTTATACATACACACCTCTCCAGTGCGTGTTCCATTGACCCAGTCCCCCATATGGTATAAAAATTCAAAGAATAAGCAGTAAGAGATGCAGAAAATTTTTCCACTTATTCTCCCACCCCCTCCTTTTTACTCAGAGCATGTGCATTTTGGGGGGTGGAGGGGATTGGCAAGGACTATTTTCATTGATTTGTGGAGATGAAGCTTCTTACCTTCAAATTGAAATCTTTTTAAAGAAAAGTTTTGGCACTACTTAAGCTTTTATTTGACAAATTAATAACTTAAAATAGAACAGATAATTGTAGATCTCTTGCACTCTTACGAAAATAGAGATTTTATGGGAATCAAGAGAAATTTAAATCTTCAACAGGTTAGAAAATCACATAACAGCATCAATAGCTTACATTGCTTGTGATTTGAGAAAATAATTAATTACTGCAATACAGGATACCACCACATGTTTCAGGATACCACTTATATATAACTGAAGAAAGAAAGAAAAGCTTGAAGATAAAGATAAATTTTCTAAACCTAGATGTGAATTAAAAAATACTACCTTACAGAAAATTTTGAAGTAATTTATTGCAGAAAGAAGGTGGCTTCCAACATAAACATCGAAGGTTGAAGCCATGAATGACTTTGAAAAAATACAAAATTAGATCTGGCTTTTAACATGAGATCTTTCTTGACATGACCTATTAAGTATAATAGATAAAGCCAGTGTAGACAATTACAATGAGGGGGTATGAGTTGTGAATGAGATCATGTATCAAATATAACATCGTAGTGGTATCAAGTAGCACCTTCAGAAGTGGGAGACATCTTGAAACTGACAACGTATTCAGGATATATGTGTGTGCTCATATTCATATTCCAAACAATGTAATGACTTGGATTTTGCGGATCATCAACTCCACTATCATATTTTTCGCTACTTGGATGAAATTGTCCAGACTCAGGATGAAGTTGTTCCAGTTTCCCCAATATGACGCGGCAAAACAGCATGTGTCGTACCCCCTTTTCATCAACATCACAATAACTTGCGCTGAAAAGAAAATAAAAGCCAATTCTTTCTATAAAAGCATATTATCAGCAGGCACATTAGCCTCAATAAAATAAAGTCCCCATAGAAAACACAGTTATCCACTGAATTGTCTTAAGCAGAGCTTGGCAAACAAATGGCCTGCTGCTACCACCTAAATCAAACCTTGGAGAGAGAAAAAACACTTTAATAATTCTGCTTACTAACCAATAAGAATATAAATTTTATTTGGGAACAGCCACCATATACATTCATAAACCAATAAAAAAAATTAATTAGCATAGAAAACAAAACAAAAAAAGGCATATGCAAACCTCTTATAGGCACAATTAACAGCTGTGAGGTGAACTCCAATGCCATATGTCATCTTTAGTTTAGGTCCACCGTGCCCAAGACCATAGATCAAAATGCTAGATAGAGCACCCTTAGAAGATGCGAGCCAAGCATTCTGAACATTTGGATTCCCACGACACCTTTGGGTAATCTCAACCTGCTTCTTGAACAGTTCCAAGCGGGTCTGAATTAAATTACTAGAGCATCTATTAACTTCAAGTATATCCACTTTAAGTGATGGACTCATGCCTATAAGAAACATATTTTTGATGGTGTCAGAATCCAGAGCTTTACCCATAGCTTCTAACTCAGGTGATATATTTTCACCTATCAGTTGAAATTCCTCCGCAGCCTCCCCCATTTTTGCATCACATTGTTGGTTGAGTTTGTCACTAACAGCCAGTTCATAGTGATTTCTAACAGGGTTCTGGTCAATTTTAATCCTCTTAAGAGGAGTACTTGATTCTTCCACGCCTTCCTCCAATTTACAGCCATTCACTCCAATTTCAATATCAACATGCAACTTGATTTCTTGAGTCTCATTTGGCTCTGAAGCCACATATGCTTCATCTTTCTTTAATCCAGATTGGTAGCATTCATGCATTTCACTATTAGTGGAGTGTACTTCCGGAAAGAAGCAACTACCAGCTTCGTCAATCCAAGCAATAGATTTCTGTACACCCGTTTTCAGATCCAGTTGTATCATATACAAAATATCCAGCATTAAATGATAACCCCTGCTCTGCACCTCAATTGCTGCCTTTTTCACCCGAAAATCCTCTCTAACCAACTCAACTATGTCTTGAGGGAAATCACACCATTCACCATTCTGATAAAACAGAAAACGTTGAGGCAGTCCACTTCTCATAAAATTTGAGTAGTTCCTAAGTGAAGATTTTCTCCAATGAGACCCACAATTTGTTCCGCACACATCCGATCTCTTCCTCTTGCCGATCTTGTCCTTCAACAAGTTAGGAGCAGACTGCACAGACACCACCTTGTTGCCAGCTCCAATTACATGTGCCAGGTATCGAGCCGCCCGTTTTCTCTTTGAATCAACAACAATTCTATGGCTACTATCCAACACCCTACCCCACTTTGATTCCATTATCTATAAGGTCAATATCTATTTACAATCCTCAAATCAAAAAACTACTAAAGTATCTTCTATCAAAAATCCCCAGAAAACTAAGCCATGGAGGAGATATTGCAAAGCCCTAAAACAAAGGGGGAAATCAATAAGTCAATATCTTCACACACATTAAAGCATATGGCATGCATTCTACCATCAATAAGTAGAAATGGACTTACTGGGGCCCACCACTGATCAAAATTGGTGGCTCCATGGAAAATTTTCCAGTATTGGAGCCATCCCAAAGTTGGAAAGGAAATGACAAAATTATTGCATGAAACGAAATGCATACATTGATATAAAACGTGACTGTTAACGTTATGACAGCAATGCCTGCCTAGATTAATTTATAAGCACGAATACATACACAAAATATGCAACTAGCGCATCATGGCATGTGAGATCGTACCAGTTTCTGCAACGAGTGGCCATTTCTGTACAGGCATCTCTTCTCCCTGCCATTGTGGCAAATTCGACAAATTCTTCTTCCTTTTGCTTCTTTCTGCTTTTGGCTACAAACTCCTAAGGAGCTAAAATACTTATAGTCCACTGAAATATAATAGTTCCGTCAGTAATTCCAAACAACCACATATTAATTAGTAAAGAAAAGCTATATTCTGGTCACTTCTCAAAAAGCAAGATCCATGAATATGAAAAATCCTATTTTCCTATATTTTTCAATGTGACTTCAAACACAAAAATACCTCGGTTTTGTCAACAAAATAAAATTCACAGCCATGTCAATTTTATTTTGTTAAAGTTGAGATAGTAATATTTTGTACCCATGTCAGTGCTTCAGAGCAAGCAAAATAATGTCATGGCCTAGTGAGCGTGGGGATATTACGGGGCAGACGCAAGGTTCAAGTCTTATCATAGATGGCATGGGGTAATGGTTATAATATTTGGCAGCATGGTAAAAATCACTAGCGGATCTATGCTTGGGCCAGAGGGGTCCCTAGGCCACCCTAAATTTTTTTGAAAACATTATACATAATTTTATAGATCCATATCTAACACATTAATAGCAATCTTCAGACAAATTCAAACAACATCGGGGTCATTTTATCATTTGTCTGAAATCACTAGATCCTTTTGGCATCGTATTAAAATTATCTAGGAGCAATCATTTTGTATGTATGTAAAAAAATACAGTATAACATCAAATGACAAAACATTTGACCTTACAAACTCGTGATGATAATGGATTTAAGTATGGCCCCCTCTAGAGCCCAAAACTCTTTGGGCTCACATAAGGCGACCCAAGCGTCTCATCCAGATAGCATTCACTGGGCTCGAGCTAGACTGCGGCCCAGAAGCCCGAAACAAACCAACTCGAAATAGGTGACAACTCAACATCGACAAGCCTAATTTAGGTACCAGCTCGAGGAATGAAAGCACGGGGCTAGGCCAGTTAGCAAGAATTGCAACATGATACGTGGACAAAGGAAAAATGGATAATACCTGACAATCCCAATGAACGAATACTCACCGGTAGTAGAGATGACTCACGTATTCCAGTCGATGCGTAGTAGGTGCAAAAAAGCGTCAGGGATGATAGCTCTAGTAAGAAGGCAAACACAAAGAAGACCACAGAATCAACACAAAGGGATCAGCACAAAAACCCTAAGGGCGGATATATAAATAGCTAACGATACCACACAAAGACAGGTAGAGAAAATCTATCTGGCAGAAGCCTAGGCAATATTCTGTACTGGGCTTCCATTCAAATACCTTGTAACAACAATCTTCTTTCGAGCAATTTTCTTTCCCAAGGAGTAAGAGTCTCCTTTACGGTGGATGTAACCCTAGTCCTTTGGCTATGGTGAACCACTCATATTGTTGTCTTTCATTTTGCATTTAACACTTAGCACACTCTCTGGCATTTAGTTTTTTTGCCGCTTCAATAATGTTCTTTTTCTTTTGGTAATATGTGATGTGATTGACTTGTAATTGCAAGTTTAGTATTTTTTTTCCTATAATTTTTTTTTTCTTAATTGATATTGCGATGGACATATGTTTTTCTTCGATTGGTTTTTATGTAAATGAAAATAAGTATAAATTATTATTTTTAGTATTCATAAGTACAAGTTTGTAGTTAAAGTGCACACCCAAACACAAGTTCCTTAATATAAATCAATCACCACAAGACAAAAATAACCAACGTCACCGCCACTCCAAATTCAAGTCGCTCAAACAAGTTCCCATTTTTCTGACCAAAAAAAAAAAGTTTCCATTTTTTTTTCTTTTTATGGTTAAAATTATTTATCCAATATAATAAATAAATAAACCAGAAGATAACTCCTCAAATTCCTAAAAAATAACACTTTTATCATCCTTATTCTTAATGATTTCTCAACTAAAAACCGACTCTCAGGACAATACCCTAAAACACTTTTAATAAAAAAGTGCAAAACATGATGAAGTCCGCAGATTTAAACAAAAATCAATGCGAAAATTACAGATAAAAAGCCACAGAAGAGAAAATCAGTACCGATCCGCCCAAATTCCCCTGGAGATTCTTAAAATCAAACAATTTCCATAAAAATAATCAGATTCTTAACAATAAACCAATCAAAAGTGAATAAAAGACGGGATCTTTACCTACTCAACGGTAAACCACAATTTTCATGCCTCTCGTAACAGATTTTGGATCGTCTTCCTCGTCGCCGTCCCGAGAACCACTTGATTGTGTGAGAGAGAGTTGTCGTGGAGCCGAGACGACGACGCTAGAAGACGAAGACTAATGGAGCTGAATCCAAAATTGAAAATACCTAATTAATGTCATGTCCTCTTTATTGATGGTTGCTTGGGCGAAAAGTAAGAGATAGAGAGAGAAAGAAAGACAGGTCGGCGGAGACCTAACCTCGTAGATTCGAAGATCGATGTGAGATCTAGGCGTGAAGGCAGGTCGATATACACGACGTCGCTTTATGTTTGGAAAACTAGTAAACGATGTCGTATTAATGGAATTACGGTACAAAAACCGAAATTCTATCTTAGCCGTTGATTTGCTTCTACATGATTTTTAAAACAATCAAGTAAAGAAATTACAATAGATTAAAATAAATACTCCTTTAAAGTATCAATTTGTTAGTAAAACAAAAATAAAGATATTATATCCAAAAAAAAAAAAATACATTTTAATACCGTAATATTTTTGTTGTATAGACAGATAATTGCATAAATCCCAATGCAAAATCAAAGAGTAATGGTTTAAATTTGATTTTAATGAATTTAGGTGATAACAGGTACAAAAAATTGTTCAATAAATTAAGTAAATTGGTCAATATAAATTTCAATAAACATAATTCATACAAAATTAAAAATCCAATAATATATAAATTATATATATATATATATACACAATTAGATATGAGTCATATTTGAGTAATCTCTTTTATTATAAATAAAAAAATAATTATTTATTCTTAAATAAAATAATTAATTAATCCAATCACATAAAATCAATTATTTGACTCGCATATAATACAAAAAATTCGATTTTTGTAGTACAACGAATTAAGAGATTTTAAAGAACAAAAATTATAATAAAACATAGGAATCAATTAGTGAGAAAAACTATGCATTAAAGAACAACGGATGAGATATAAATATCATGTTTTATTAAAAGAATCACTCATAAATTTAGTTAAGAATTTGCACACGATACGATTTACACAAATTGTAATTATAAAATAATACAAACTCATTGACAATTCTAATATTATTGAGAAAAGGGGAAAAAATGAGATGCCCACGATGCGGAGGAATAATACGTTGAATAATAGAGGGACCACAGCGTACATAATTGTTCGTTCAGCATAAATGCCTTTCAAATGTCTTTCGACCACTCTTTTTTCCACAAAAGCAAAAGATTTGTGGGATTCATAACTTTCCTTTTTCTTAATAATTGTGGCAAATTATATCTTTATTTAGAAAATTTACCCCCATTCTCAAAATGATTGATAATTCCTTATTTAGATAAAGGGTAATTATAATCCGCATTCCCTTTAAATACGTATATTTTTAATGACATCTTCCCTATTATTCAAAGCATTATCGATATTTTTTTAGTTTATATTTAAATGGAACTCTCCGTTATTAAATCAACATTTGCAACAAAAAAAATATAATTAAAATATGAAAATTGGCCTTGCATAAATCACAAACAATATTTTTACATAAAATTTGAGTCAATTAAATTTTATTTTTTTACATATTAAATTTTTTAAACAATTAAAATTCATTTTGAGTTGATTAAATTTTATTTTTTTTACATATAAAATTTGAGTCTATTAAATTTTATTTACATATTAAAATTCGATTAATTTGAGCTCAACCTGAGCTGCTAGTGCAGATTAAAATGCGATTCGAGTCAATTAAAATTCATATTTTATTTACTTCTTACAATTTGTGTTAATCAAAATTCAATTTAAGTTGATTAAATTTTATTTTCTACGTATTAAAATTTTAGTTGATTAAAATTTATATTTTTATATGTATCAAAATTTGTGCTGATTAAATTTCCAAGCGAGTATATTAAAATTTAATTCAAGGCAATTAAAAATGAATTTTAATATGTAAGAAATATGCAAGTTGATTAAATCGGCTCAAGTTTTAATATGTAATAAAATATCATTTTTAATATACTCAAATTTTAATACGTAAAAAAAATAATTAGTCCAAATCAGATTTTAATTAATCCAAATTTTAATACATAAAAAAAATTCAAAAAATAAAAAGGGGCCTTATTGAATTTATTTATATTTAGAGGGGATGTGAATAGAAGTTCTTCCTAAAATAATAATGGGCAATTTAATAAATTTGTATTATAGTTAACGTCATTAATTTGATAGGGGATGTCAGTAAAGATTTAAAAAATAAAGGAGTGTTCTTGAATATATGATAAACTATAAGCGGCGTGACTAAAATTTTTCCTAAGATAAATTAATGGTATATAAAATTTATTTAGTTAATATGTAATAGGAAATTAAAAAGATAATGGAGCTACTTGGAGGTGATTAAAAACTTCAGCTTTTGGAGGATTAAGAGGAAAATAAGTTTGGTCGGTTTGGATCCGGACTTGTTGAAAAGATTTTCCATCAATTTTTTTTTGGCAAAAATAACTTTTATCAGCACCAACAAAAAGCTAAAAAATGGAGTTTATCTAAGGACTTCCAAATAAAATGCAATTTTTTCAAAAACGGTTCAAATAGTTTTTTTAACTGTAATTTTTTTATTTCACTTTTCAAACATCTGTTTTACACACACACACAAAATAAAAAAAAAAAAGCTTCAAATGAGCCTAATATACCAAAAAAATTGTTGCATTCATTGTCAATTTTTTATTTTTTTGTTTTTATGTCTTTGGAAATATTTCCATATCCTAATGGCAAGCAAAAGAACATAAGTTGACATAAACTGATCTTAGTGTTTCAAATCCATCATCAATAATTAAAATGCTATAGTATGATAAAATAAATCTAAAAAATTCTATCCACACCTGATAATTCTATGATCTCCATGTGTACTTGGCTAAGAAATGCATCATTTTTTTAGGGTTTGATTTATCAAATTTTTAATTATTTTCATTTAAAATAACAAATACAATTCCATATTTTTTTGAGGGGTGGACTGTATTCACGAGCAATCTTCACATGTTATGGCGAACTAGCTTGTCGGTGATGAGTTTTAGATAAATAACATGCATGATTTTCAATTCATGTTTGTAATCAACTATTCATCAAAGTTTAATTATCTTAAATGTAATTGAAACTAGGTAAAACATAACAATCAATCCAATCCCTTCTTGAAACGAATAAACAAAATATCATTGAATCTTATTTAAACTATATATATATATTTTTTATTATTTTTGTTGTTTAGTTTAACCGTGGAATTGTATGAAAATGTTTATGTAGTTTAAGGAGTAACTTGAATTTTTTTTAAAAATATAAAGAACATACAAAAAAAAAGATGTAATTTAAGACCCATTTATAACATTTACCTACTTTTAATTTTGTGCTAGAACATGTACCTTTTAAAGAATGATGAATAACAATTTTTTTTTGTTGGGGGGGGGGGGGGGGGGCGCTAAAGTAGGATTATGACAGTTTTTACCTGACTTAATTTTTGAAATCCTAATTTATATAATAAAAGATCAAAATCTTTATATTACACATTCAACGAAATACAAAATAATAATATTGTAGCCTATGCAATTAGACTTGGTTATAAAACTTTCATTACCGTATTAAAAATAGATGAATTAGATAAAATAATACAATCTAATGTAATACAAATGGATAAAAAATAAGATTAAATATATTATTAAAATAATACATAATTTTATATAGTGTTTAACAATACACAATATAAACATTGGATAATAGTTATTTAATTCAATCGGTTGTTTGATTAGAGAATTGTTTCATCATATTATGTTGAATTAACAAAAATACCATAAATCAATTTGTTACATTGATGACAACTTGATTTTATCACTTTGAGAGTTATAATAATAAATATATAGGATAATACGTTTCAGTTTGATTATAATACCACATCTTTTAGTAATATTAAAAGATTTTCATAATACAGATTTATCGTACAAAAAATATACGATAAGTATACAATTAATATACGTTTTTAAAATTAATACGACATCAAATTTGTTTATTAAACAAAGTATTATACCAGATTAAATAAAATATAATACAATATAATATTTAATCTCCACATAATACGCCTATCAAACAAGCCAATTAGGTAAAGTGTTTAAATTGAGTAATATATAAATGAGTGTGCACATAAATAAGAAATATAAAAAGCTATACTGAAAATTGTGCTTGGAGAACTAATAAACATGTGATTTTGGACTGTATTATTATATTTTTATCAAATTGAGGCAAAAATTCACCCTTTAACATAATGTTTTGAAATTTTTGATTTTTTTTTTATTTGCACATAATAAAGGATGTCAAAATCAATTCACGCGCCACCGAAAAATTTCGCTGTCCTCTTGTACTTTCAAAAATTAATTTTGTCATATTATACCTTCTCAAAAGTATTATAATGTGGTCATATGTTTAGCTTCTGTTGTTTTTATGATTAAAAATCAACCCATTAACACTGACAAAAAAATTAACATAAACCTAATAGAATGAACATATTACACCATTTTTAATTTATTGAGTGTATAATGTATAAAATTTAATCTTTAAGGTTATGAAGTGAAAAAATTAAATGTTTTAGGATACAAAGTATAATTCACCCAACAAAACTCAAACAACTAAATGTTGTAGGAAAGAAGGAGGGTTCGAGTAGTGGGGAAATTACATAGCCGAAGCTTCGCACTAATTCTTTCAATCATTCCATTCAACGAAGGAAAAATGGGAAAGGAAGGAGATCTCTGGGATGATTCTGCTCTCATCAACGCCTTCGACGATGCTATCTCTAAGTACAAGGTCTCTCTCTCTCTCTCTCTCACACACACACACACACACTTGTTCTGCTATATTGGCTTTAGCATACAAAGGTAAGACATAAATAAATACACAGATGTTTTTTTGCCTGTTAGCAATAAATATTTATGATATTATAAATTAGATACAAAATTTGCAATGTGTCAGATTGAATTTTCGATAGTAATATATGTTATCTTATGAGCCCGTTTGGCCAGGAAGAAATAAATGATGGAAAGTGGAAGTGAAAGGAAAATTAATATCTTGTATGCGTTAGATTGGGATGAAAATTTCACTAGCAAGTTGTAGGAAATTTTTTGTTATTATCTATATTGCCCTTGCATATTTGAAGTGTGCAATGAGAGCCTTTCTCTCTCTAAATAAGATGGTTTCACTTTCATCCTCCCTTGTACTTTCCAGAAGATGCATAGCACAAGAGGGCATAATAGCTCAGTCGAGGGAGGAAAAGGCGTAAGCAGTAAAGAACAAAATTTATCCGAACTTGTTGATGAAAACCATGGAGCTAAAAGGTGAGTATATAGTTGGAGCATTTTCTTTCTTTTTGTCATTCTATCGATTATGGTTAATAAAAACATTAGATAGCCTAAAAGCTAAATGTTAAGATTTTCAACGTGGTCATTATGGCTTAACTTGGGGGCACAATTATGTTATTAAATCTTTCTACTTTGAAATCCAAAAGAGGGCACAATTTAATGCTTTTAAAACTTCATACATTTTGTTGCAAAGGTGTGCCTCAAGTTTTGCTCTTGAGCATTCAAGCTTTGTCCAGTCTTTACACGCAGAGTACTCTAAAGGAGGTTGATGTAAGACCTCTTGGTTCAACCTCACGTCAACAACCAAGAGGGGAAACAAAGCACATAATCTCTCAGCAACAGGAATCTCTCTAGAATTTTATTCCCAAAAAAAAAAATGGCACTGCCTCATTCCTTCTCATTCTGGTTTTTATATAATGATGAAGGCTAAAATCTAGGAAACAAACTAGGAAAGAGATAACAAACCAATAACAAAAAAACAATAATAACAACTACCACATATTCCTCATAGTTATCTTCTGCTTAAAATAAGGAACCACTTCCTCATAGTTATCTTCTGCTCTTATCACCAAGATTTAAGGATCCACTTCTTGATTTGCATCATTTGCCGGCTCCCCTGAAGAACTTGACTCCGGCAAGTTTTGATGAAAATAGGCAGCAAATAATTCTAGGTGTAAGCGCTTGAGTTCTGTGACCAGCAACCAAATTGAATCGAACTTGGGACGATTTTTCCATTGCACTAAAAATTTGTAATAACCCCCTCGGCGGGTTGTAACGAATTGATGATCAAGGATGGATGCAATCTCATCTCTAGGAGTTGATTGCTTAGGAACACGAATAACGGGGTCATGAAATTCTACTAAATCTGGTGTTGTCGACATCTTCGTTTCATTACCCTTAAACTCGGTCAAGTCTTCTATGTTGAAAACTGGGCTAATACCAAAATTAGGGGGCAAGTTGATGACATACGCATTCGGACCCAATTTCTTGGCGACTCTAAAAGGGCCTGCACGTCGTACACGTAGCTTGGTAAAATTGCCGGGGGAAAAACGTTATGGTCTTAACGGAATAAGAACCATATCGCCAACTTCAAATTGCCTATTCTTGCGCCTCGTATTCGCAAAGTCTGCATATGCTTCTGTATTAAGGGGCGTCGCCTCACTTCTCCATGAACGTCCCTCATATAGCTAGAAAAATCAAGCGCAGCTTCACTAGGCCTAGTAAGCAAAGGTAACGAATTGAGATCGAGGGGAGTGTGGGGTCGAAATTCATAGATCACCTCAAATGGTGTGCACCCTGTCGATCGATTAATAGAGTTGCTAAAAGCAAACTCCGCCTGTGGTAGTATTAGATCCCAACTAGAGACATGATCCGCAACAAGGCAACATAATAAATTTTCGAAACTCCAATTTGTCACTTCAGTTTGGCCATCTGTTTGAGGGTGGAAGGCACTAGAAAACATCAGTTTTGTCCCCATTTTTGCCATAAAGTTTTCCAGAAATAACTCATAAATTTTACATCCCGATTGGGCACTATGGTGGCTGGTATACCATGCAATTGGATCACCTCTTGCAAAAATAATGTAGCAATCTTTGAAGCATCGTAAGTCTTATGACAAGGAATGAAATGAGACATTTTTGAGAATCGATCCACGACCACCATTATTGAATCATGCTGTCGGAGAGTCTTGGGCAACCCGAGAACAAAATCCATGCTAACATGTTGCCAAGGTTTGTCCGGAATTGGAAGAGGAATATAGAGTCCCGCTGGTTGCTTAGTTCCTTTGTTCATCTGACAAATTTGACAACGAGCCACCACTTTATGCACATCTCTGCGCATCCTTGGCTAGTAGAACCGGTCAACGACAATGACAAACGTTTTATCATACCTAAAATGCCCTGCTAGTCCCCCTCCATGGAGTTCCGTGATTATGAACTCGCGAATAGATCCATGAGGAAGGCACAATCGTGTGCCATAAAATAAAAAACTGTCTCTCAAAGAATAATCACCATTAGATATGCCGACATTGGTGGACAAATTACTCCATGTGTTGCCAAAGTCCACATCGTTGGCGTACTCAAATTTGAGTCTATCAAAACCTGCAAAATTAGCTGAGAAAATATGTAGCAAATGAGGTCTCCTGCTTAAGGCGTCAACCACCTTATTTTCAGTCCTTCTTTTATGCTTAAGAACAAATTTGAACTGTTGCAAATAATCCATCCATCGAGCATGCCTAGCATTTAGCTTGCTTTGAGACTTTAGGTGCTTCAAAGAATCATGATCGGTATAAAGGATAAACTCTCTATGAATCAAATAAGGACGCTAGTGCTTGAGAGTTTGAATTAAAGCATAAAATTTCATGTCATATACTGAATATTTTCGGCGAGTGTCATTAAGCTTCTCGCTGTAAAACGTAATGGGATGACCTTCCTGGCTCAAAACGCCCCTAATCCCCACATGTGAGGCGTCACATGCCACTTCAAATACTTTAGAGAAATCTGATAATTTCAGAACTGGTGTTTGCCCCATCTTTTCTTTGATTTCTGTGAAGGCTTTGTCAGCTGCTGCTGTCCAAGAAATGCTCTTTGCTTTCAAACACTCGGTGATTGGGCCCATTATGGTGCTGAAACCCCGAATAAAACGTCGATAGAACGTAGCCAACCCATGGAAACTTTGCACCTCAAAGAAATTTCGAGGTATAGGCCATTTCTGAATTGCTTGCACCTTGGCGGGATCAGTTTCAACACTTTGATTAGAAATTATGAAGCCCAAAAAATTGGCTCTCTTTTGCATAAGCGAATACTTATTTTGATTTATGTAAAGTCGTCCGGTCTTCAATTTGTTCAAGACCTGTTCTACATGGTCTTGTAAACAGTGGCTAAAAATTAAAATATCATCAAAATATACTACTACAAATTTACCCAAAAAATGGTTTGAGTGCTTGTGTCATAACACGCATGAAGGTGCTCGACGTGTTGGTTAATCCGAAAGGCATGACCAACCATTCGAACAGTTCATCTTTTGTTTTGAAGGCCGTCTTCCACTCATCACCATGACAGATGTGAATTTGGTGGTATTCGCTTCCAAGGTTGATTTTTGTAAAAATAGAGGTGCCGCTTAATAAATCCAACATGTCATCAAGTCAAGGAATGGAAAATCGGTATTTGACTGTGATCTTGTTAATTGCTCGGTTGTCTAGACACATCCTCCAGCTACCGTCCTTCTTGGGCGTAAGTAGAACCGGAACAGCGCAGGGACTAAGGCTCTCTCAAATCCAGCCCCTGTCTAGTAACTGCTAAATTTGTCGGTTAAACTTTTCATTTTCTGTTGGGCTCATGCGATAATGTGGCAAGTTAGGCAAGGTTGATCCAGGAATTAAATCGATAGCATGCTGCACATCCCGCATTGGTGGAAGTTGTTTTGGCATCTCATCAGGCATAATATCTTGAAACTCCTCCAGCAACTTGGCAAACTCTGTGGGAATATAATTATCATCTTGCTTAACCTCACGACTCACCACCATTAACAGCATTTGTTCTTCTAATAAAACTCGAGAGAACTGGTGTATAGTCAATACCAGGACAACTTCTCTTTTTGTCTCAAATTTCGAAATCTGCAAAGGATCCAAAACAAATTTCTTACTTTTAAATATAAAAGAGTAAGGATTGGCATACCCATCATAGGAAACCCTTCGATCATAAAGCCATGGTCGCCCTAGAAGCATATGACAAACAGTCACAGGAATCACGTCACACCAAGCCTCGTCCACATATTTCGTAACCAATGAAAACTTCACCAAACACCGATGCTTTACCAAGACTGAATTATCTTCATTAACCCAACTAATTCGATAAGGAGTAGGGTGCTATTCAACTTTCAACTCCAAACGCTCTACTGCACCTTTGGAGATCGCATTCATGCCGCTGCCATTATTGATAATGACATTCAAAGCTCGGCCACCATGTTCGAAGCGTGTATGAAAAATATTGGTGCGTAGCCACTCGTGATTAGCCTTAAACTCCTTATTTCCAGTCAACATTCGGTGGATCATGCAGCTAGGTAGATCAGTTGCACCTAAATGTTCGTCTTCCCCATCAACACTCTCTTTGGCCTCCTGCTCCTCAACTTCTTTGTCGGCATCCATTACCGTTAAATCCTTCTCACAGATGAATGCCAGTTTCTTATCTCTTGTAGGACACACAACAGCATAATGCCCAAAACCTTTGCATTTATAACATTGCAGCCTTTCACCAGTAACCTTTGCCTTTCCTTTTTTATCTCCCATCACTGCACCTTTGGGTTGCTCATTCAATAGTGGCGGCTTTTGGAATGAAGAATTTACCACACGCCCCCGCCTTGGATCCGTGGACATCATCCTCCTTCCAATCAAAATTCCCATTTGCTTCTCAACACGCAGCGCAAGTTGATATGCTTCCTCAACATTGATTAATCGTGCAGTCAACATTTCTTTACGCAAATCGCTACATAGTCCAGTTCGGTATCGAGCTAGAGTTTGTTGTTTAGTTTCCACGATCTTACTACAGACAACCAACTCGTGGAAGCGATCTGTGTATTGATCGACTGTCAATGATCCTTGCCTCAATTGTAACATCTCTTCGAACATCATTTGCTCATAATCAATGGGCAAATATTTTTCCTTCATCTCCTCCCAGTTGGAAACTGATGGACGCCAAGTACGGCGCAATTGTTCTTCCACACTTCCCCACCAAGCTCTTGCATGCCCCTTTAATTTCATTCGGACGTAACAAACCTTTCGATCCTCTGATACAACAAACTAATCAAAGTAATCCTCAATGGGCGTTAACCAATCTTCAAAAGCATTGGGTTCGAATTTTCTATAAAAATTTGGTACATCCACTTTCATCCTCTTAGTCAGTTCATCAAGAGGTTGTTGATGATAGCCTGCACCACGCTCGCCACGGTCTTGATGATAATGGTCCCTGCGACGAAAGTCACGTTGTACAAACCCCCTGTGGTCATCGTCGTTCAGCTCATCTTCCTCTTCCCCACCGTTTGCTTCTAATTCCTTTTCACGAGGTGGAACACGCCCCCTTCTATTGGGAATTCGTAGCTCCTCTCGAGCTCGAGATTCTTCCAGTACATCCAATCGATGTGGGATCTGCTCCAAAATTGAGGCAATTTGAGTGACTTGCTGTTGTAAGTTGGGTTGTTCTTGGTTTGCATTGTTTGACATGGTGTATGAATTGCCGCTTCGGGTCACAGGCATGAGATAATGAAATTTTCCTTA